CCTGGTGATTTCTCAAGTCTTTGGGGGGCTTTGAGTTATTATATAACACTTTACAAATTTTGGCTTTGCGCATCTTTATGCGCAGCCGTATGCCGTGTAAAGTATTTTCTTTATAAGTTTGAATAAAAACACTAGCACGTCAGGCTGTTTCACTGTGATGTTAAGAATGCATTTATTGTGTTCAGGAATGTTCTTAGCCTATGGATAACATATATAAACTTATGCTGTTATCGGTTAACAGCTACAAAGAGAGAGAGAGAGAGAGGGAGAGAGTGTAGCTTGCATATGCCTGTGTTAGTGAGCATATAAATTAACCAATTCAATGGTACTGAATTATAAAATAATATATTTTTATTTTTTTAACAGCACTATGTGCTTTTCAATTACAATGCTTTCATAAGGTCCCTTTGTCAGGTTGACCAATTTGATTGCTGTAATAAATCTTTGCAAATTTGCGTCCAGTGAGAAATCTAAATGAAATGTATCCATATATATAAAGTTTCTAATTCATATATGCTTACTGGGGTCGATGAGACCAATTGTTGAATTCTTTCCTTAAAACAGGCATCTCTAACATAGACTTCTCTTATTGCTTCTATTGTGTCCATTATCAAGAATTTTCTTATCTTTTTGTTTCAATTTTTATATATTTTATTTTCGATCTTAATTTCATTGTTTTATTTATTCTTTTCATATCTCTTATTGCTTACATTTTTACATTTTGTACTTTTTAGTACATTGTTATATTTTGTCCAGATCATTAGCTCTGCTTAAGTAACGTTTTTTAATTTTCTTGTTATGCATTGCATAAATTTTGAGTCCTCAAGAAATGACAGATACAACGGCTATGATTAGCAATAGAACTGCAATTTCTTCCAAATTTTCTCTATGATCGATGAGTTTTACATTATTAATGACATTTGCGGCTGATTTTTCAATTTTTTATTTTAGTTAATCGTTGTATTGTATCTGAACGAATTATTGCTTATAAAATTTCTCTTTTCAAATTTAAATTTTTGTTTATTTTCAAATTTTAATAATGTTCTTGTACTTATGTGCAATTAAATAGTTTTTGGGTTTTTAATATTGGCAGAAGACCATTTTTATTTTGTGTTAAGCTTATTATGGATTTTATGCCATATATATGGCTTGTTTTGTTTCTTAAATTTTGGATAATATGACAAAATCCTACCTAGCGTTTCGCATAGCTTTACGGGCTATGCTGCTAATCGAGCGAATGTGTTTCCGCTTAATTTTACAAATATTTTTTTTTATATTAATATATTTAAAGTATATAGCTGCATCTGGTGTCTTTTGTCTGTAGTCGAGGTATAGATGTCCTTCTGTTGCTGGTCCGTCGCATCAGCTGGGTGTCGCCGGATATGGCACGCTGTGGCACGGTACCGGTGCTGGTCTTCGCACAGGTATTCACTGGTTGGCTTTGCTTGTTGTGCAGTGTTTGCACGTGTAGTTGCACAAGGGGCTATCCAGCGGGCCTTCGCAATCCTGTGGACACATTTTCTTCACTTTTGGGAGGCTGATCTCTACTCACTCAGGAAACCTGGTCAGTGTATTGTCGTTTTTCTCCAGTGGTTTCCTTTTTCCCAGGGGCTTATTTCCTTTATTGTCCAGTTTTTCTACTGCCTCCAGGCAGGGATTCGTGAACATGTCACGGTCGCCATGTAGAAATTGTATTTTGTTTAGTCACAAATATATATATTACAATAAATGAATGAATGAAATCTCAATGAATTTATTCGCCTTTTAAATTGTTATTGTATGCAGCAAAGTGCCAAAAGTACTTTATATATGAATACTGGGTGTTCCGTTTAAGGCATATACACACTACACAATAATGAAGAGCCGAAGGAAGATCTGCTACTTCCTTTATTCCGAGGATCAGTGATAAATCTCCTTTCAATCCTCTTTCAAAGGTGTCTTATGCCTTATCGCGGATTCTTCAGATTCCCTATTTAGTTCCATGCAAACTACTTTGTTTAATATCAAAGAAAAGTGATTGTAACCGACCTGGTAGAATTCTTCTACTGTCTGATTGTTGCCTTGCACTAACACGGTCATTTGACATTCCAATGTTCCTAGATCTCTCTTATCTGCGTAGTGCAGTGTGAGACAATTTAAGGGAACATTGTACGACTCGAGGACCGTGTCAGCATTGCCTTTGATTTTGTTCCTCACGGTATGCAATATGCCGAAGTATTTCGGCGAGCCTACTTCAGCTGCGTAGACTGAGAGTATGCGATCTACACTCTTTTTCCATGAACTAAATTCTGCCGGGTTACCAGAAAATTCTCGGAGGCTTTTAACTATGTCTTGTACTCTGTCCAAATCCTTCAAATTCTGATTGTCAGTTATCCTTTGGTCGTCTACATCGTTAAATTCCCTCGAGGGGTTACCTAATTGCTTCACTAACGTTGGCAATTTTGCGCCAAAATCAAATTACTTTCGTTAGCCATAAAATTGGTCTAACCAAAAGATATTTCTTACATTGTATATATCAATAGATGTTCAAATAATTTAAAACTAGTGTTATTTTTCCATATTCTATATATATATATATTTCAAACAAATGTTTTTTTTTATTGTTTTTTCTAATATACACCAGTGGCTGGTTTTTTCCTTCTACTTTGGAGGTTCCCTTCGCAAATGTGGAATCTCGGATCTGGTTTTGCTGTCTTCCTCTGTTTGAGCCGCCTTATATGAGCCGCCTCGAGGATTGCCTCTGTTATCATTGTTTCTATTACCATTATTATTATTTCTGTAGCCGCCTCTGTTGTATGGTCGGCCTCTATAATTACCTCTTCCGCGGTTTCCACCACGAGGATAGTAATTTTGGTAGTAAAGGATAGTATTGGTTTGTCCGGTTGCTTCTGTGCAACTATTGACAAATTTGGAAATGGCATCATTCATGTTATTGAATGTGCCTGCCTGCATGATAAGTTTTACCTTATCAATTGAACAATTTTGGGTCATAGCTTTTACAGCTGTTGTAGTGCTGTATTTGTTTGCTAGGGATTGGCTTAGACCTTCACTGATATAGGCGCCTTCAAGAGCCTTTACCAGTTTTTCCACCTCTTGGGTGTATTGGTTAGCCGTTTTATTTTTCTGTTGCAGATTAAGAAGCTTAGCAGATAAAACTTCTACCGATTCTCCTTTTACTGCATTTGATAGTTGCGTAATGATTGCAGCAATTGTCTGCTCATTACTTATTAAATTTCTAGCATGGCCTTTTAGCTTAGTTTTTATAAGGCTTATGGCTGTTGGCTCATGTGTGCCTTTTAATGTTTCTAATAGATTCAAAGAATCTAGAAAACTTTGTAGGTTTTCCGGCTTACCGTCAAACTCTGGTATCAGAGATGTGGCTAGCTTGATAAATTCTACAACTGTTTGTGCCATGATTACTAATTTTGTGTCTTCTACTTGGTCGTTTGTCAGGAGTGACTTATCAAATGTTACCGGCGTGTTTAATGCCGATGGTAAATAAAGCTGGAGATTGTACTTTTCGTTCAAGCTTACCAGGTTATCCCTTAGACGTTGTAAAATGTCTGAAGTTTGGACTCTGTGTAAGTAGGGCATACGGTTGGCTGACAATTTTTATTTATACAATTAATAGTCCAACCGTATGTGTTAGTAAAAAGCCTAACAGATTTTAGTATTTTTCAAGTAGCGCTTTCGCGCATCGGCTTGAATTACAGTTTATATTCAAGGGCAATTTAGGCATTGGCAGGTTTGCAGCCCTTATTGCGTTGCTTCGCACCAGTACGAAGTTGTTTCTCGATGATTTCGAGATTCTTTATTTGCTCCTTCTTCTGTTGTCGTGCCCGGTACTCAGCTATTGTGAGTGGGCGTGGTCCATCGTTGGGGTACACCTCTAAAGCCTCTTGCAGGCTGGGTGCATCCCTTTGCTCAACAGGAGCAGCTTCTTCCAGTCCAACGTTGCTCATTTACTTCCTGCGTTGGTGCAAAGGGCGGACTGCCTCTCACACTTTTGGTATCTGCTGCTGCTGTCCGGGGCCTATGGGCTCAGGCGGTGCCGGTGCTGGTCATCGCACAGGCTGTCTTTGGTTTACACGTTCGTGTCATCTGTTAAGTTTCTTTTGTTGTTGTTAAATTTGCTTTCTCAGTTGTCGTTGATTCAGATTTTGTTAGTTGTTGTTGATGTTGTTGCTTGTCACTTTGTTTCACAATGTATATTGCAATTTTCGTTCATATCATTGGCGTCATTGAGAGTGTAAAATTAATCAATCTTTGTTTGACGCAATCTCATTATGCATTATTATCAATTTATTTTAATAATTTTTTTTTTTCACAACAATTTCAACATTTTAATTTCTGTTCATTTCATTTTTTTTTTTTTTACACAAACGGCAAACCACTGTCACGGTCGCCATGTGGTATAGATATATATATGTCAGTTTAGAAATAATTGCAGTAGCACGTCAGTGCTGGTTGGATTGGATATTAATAATGATTTTATTCAGTTTTGAAAATGTGAGCTTAGCCTATGGATATGCATATATACTTATGCTGTTATTCGTTAACAGCTACAAAGAGAGGGAGAGTGAGTAGCTCGCATATGCCTGTATTAGTGAGCATATATATTGCTCACGGAATGCGCTCAGACGGAGCGTGGGATCTGCAGCGTAAGCATAAACGGTCAGCTAGTGAGGCTAGTGCACCTCGCTGCGTAATATGAGACCGAGCCAATACATAAAGTGGCTCTGAGCTTGTTTACGTTATTATTGTTATTGTATGCAACAAAGTGCTGCATACTTTATATTTGAATACAGGGTATTCTGTACGGGCATATACGCACTACATTATACTACGTTTAAAGTTTTTATAGTTTATTTTTCTTATCGTTCTTAAATATTTTCTTTGTTGTATTTCTTTTGTTAAGTTTCACTGTTAGATATATTAATAGTTTTCACTTAGTTTCTAACTTCTATCACTATTGTTGATGTGGCAACCTCTCCCGCCAGGCCGGATGTCATCCTGTTTGAAACTTCTAAAATCTACTGGGGATCCTGCGACCAGTCACCGTTGAGAGTGCTCTGAGGACGGACCTTCCACGCTATGTTGTCTACCAATGGGCAAAAAAAACAATTAAGTTCCAATCGGAAAACTTAACAAAACTTAACCATTCGTGGAATTTAATGGGCGAGAGTTGCTCTGGTTTTATTTTTGCTTGCTTTAACCGACTATCGCGCACGTAGAATCGTTTTGTTCTGTTTTAACGCGTGTCGGTCCCTGCTCGGGCGCCAGTTAATTTCAACGTTGTTTAAACGACGAAAAGAAAATATAACTTTGGGTTACAAGTCTTCCTTTAATTGATGTTATTTAGCAACTAAATAAACTTAAATATCCAGCATTCATACATTACATTTTATTGCTGTAAGCCAAATAACAAGTGTTATCGATTAAAAATACATCTGTTCGATAATATCAAAACGTGTGCTGTCGTTTGTAGAGTAATAAATGTATAAACGATTTTTCCATTATTCATATACGAAATTATAATTATAAGAAATACGATATATTGTTATAATCGATAAGAATTATGGCTTAAAGAAAATGTGTGTTATCGCTTATCGAGTAACAAGTGCTAAGATATAAGTAGCAAGTGTTATCGATAAGTAATTAAAAATAAGAAAAACGTGTATTATCGATTAAAAGTACTTTTTAGCTTAATCGCCCAATCCAATCTCCTGGTCACCGGGCAGCTCTTCACTGGCCGCCAGGCAAACACCATAGCTGGGATTCTCGATCAGATGGACACGCTGTTTATCCCTCCTGGCCTGACGTCGCTGCAAGTACTCGCGCATGAGGAGCACCGGCAGCATAACGAGCAGCAGGCAGAGCAGCACCGCCAGACCAAGCATGGTCCAGCTGGAGACACCGCCGGCTCCGCCCGTGGTGAGAGCTCGAAATGGGCGCTGCTCACAGATTTCGGGCGCCACACAGACGCTATCCACGTCGCAGGGCTGGCTGCATTCGGGCGCACACTCCGCGCTGCTGCCCTGGACAAAGTTGTAGCCGGGAAGGCAGACGCACTCGTTGGGTCGCAAGCATTCGGCATTGATGCAACGCTCCCGGCACTGGGCGTAGCACAAATGCGGCGCACTGGAATTGGTTGCCACGTAGCCGGCATTGCACTCACAGCGGCCGGGTGCCGCGCAGCGTCCGTTCTCGCAGGCGGGCCGGCAGGTGGGCGCGCACACGTAATGCAGCTTGGTGTCTTCATAGCCTGGCCAGCATTCGCAGCTGTTGGGCTCCACGCAGTTGCCATAGTTGCAGCTGGGCGTACAGACCGGATCGCAGATGGAATTGGAGCCGGGCCGTAGTTGGAAGCCCTCGTAGCAGCGACAGCGACCGGTGCCGCCCTCACACCGACTATTAATGCACTTCTGTGTGCAGTACGGCTCACAAGAGCCGCTGGGCCAGCGCTTCGCATAGCCAGGATCACACTCACAGATCTCTGGGGCAATGCAGCGACCATGGCCACAGGGCTCGCTGCAGATGGGCTCACAGACGAACGGATTCCGGGCGCTGGGACGATGACCGTTAAAGCAGCGGCACAGATCGGGACCCACACATCTGCCATAGATGCAGGAGCGCGTGCATTTGGGCTCACAATAGGATGCGGTCACCGCCTCATAGCCAGCCAGGCAGCTGCACACCTCCGGACTGCTGCAGATGCCATTGTTGCAGCCCTTGCTGCAGTACGGCTCGCAGTGTATGCTGCTGCCATTGACCGGCACGTTGCCCTCCTCACAGCTGCAGGTGTTGGGGGCAGTGCAGCGGGCATTGTGGCCGCAGGCGGGATAGCAAATGGGTGTACAGCGATGCGGATATAGCTTTGCGTAGCCCTCATGGCATTCACAGCGACCGGGTGCATTGCAGAAGCCATTCTCACAGCCCTGCCGGCAGCTGGGCGTGCAAATGTGCGCCTGGGAGCCATTGAGTGGCACATGACCCGCCTGGCATTGACAATGATTGGGCGCCGCACAAGTGCCATTGATGCAGGCCGGCTCACACACCGGCTCACAGCCGGCCTCGATGCGATTGTTCACATGGGCAAAGCCCATATTGCAGGCACAGCGCTCCGGCTCCAGGCAGAGACCGTTCCGACAGCCGCTGCTGCAGACGGGATCGCAACGATAACGCTCGCCCCAGTGCCCCTCGTAGCCGGCATGGCAGCGCAGCTCGTTGGGAGCAACACAATCGCTGTGCTCCGACTTGTCCAGGCAGATGGGCACGCACTTGCCCAGCGTCTCGTTGCGCTCGTAGCCCTCGTGGCAGGCACAGCGCTCCGGCGCCACGCAGCGCCCGTTGGTGCAATCGTTGATGCCGCTGCACACCGGCTCGCAAATGCTTCTGCTGTCGTTGCGCAATCGATAGCCCGCGCTGCACTGGCACACATCCGGCCCAATGCACTGTCCATTTTCGCACTGCTCACTGCACTCCGGCTGGCAGACGCTCCGATTCTGTTGATTGTTGTAGCCCTGGCCACACAGGCAAACCTCCGGCGAGAGGCATTTGCCGGTGGCGCCACAATCATGACACTTGGGCAAACACTCGCCGCTGCATTACAGAGAGAGAGAGAGAGAATGAGAGAGAGAGAGGGAGAGTCAGAGATTTTAGTGGTAAGTACTAAGTTTACTTACTTCTCCTGCTTGCGCTCGTAGCCCGCACAGCAGACGAGTTCCTCCGACATATAATTCTGATTGGAAAATAACACAATTAATTAGATAATCGGCCAAAATTATTTAAGATCTAATTAGCAAAAATATCGGTAATTTAATTTGATTGTACTTTGTGTTTCGCGTAGGAGTTGTCTCTTTTGACCAAGCCAATTAAAACCATCGCCATAAAAGTTTACCTATATCACACATTATCTTGCAGATATATATCGCATATCGGCCAGATTAGGGTTCACTATATAGCTGTCATAGAAATGAACGCTCGAAAACGAAATTCTTGTTTAAAACCCTTTTCTTAGTTTTCGAGATATATGTTTACTTAATGTATTTATTATTACCTTTCCTATGCATTTTATTTATGAAAGATTACCTAGATCCCACACTCTCTAGCAGATAGATTAAATATATTGTAATCGGCCGGATCGGTTCGCTATATAGCTGTCTTAGAAATGAACGCTCGAAAACGAATTTCTTGTTTAAAACTCTTTTTATTTTTCGTAATTATTATAATATATATTAGCTAATTAATTTTAATATCGGACCGCGTTATCGCAAAAATTGAGCTTTTGTATAACAAACTTTTTTATTTCTCCTTTATATGATATATTTCTGCAAGGGTATTTCATTTATGGCGGGTCGAAGATAACCGCTTATAGCCGTAACACTTTCGAGAGTTCAAAGTTAATTAGTGTGAAAAACAAAACTAATTTTCTTATGATATAAGCCGGACTAGTATAAAGAAAGAAATTAATTTGTTTATATTATAAACATTTAAAGTCGCACAAAGAAAGAAATTAATTTTCTTATAATTTACACAACACAAATTTTAGTTTATTATTTAGTTTTTGCTTTGTGTTTTCTCATCTTTCTTAAGCGTATTTCTATTAGTTCTATGTATTCTATCGTAATACACACCTCTTTAATGGGTCGCACCACCAGAGGTCCACAATCGTGGGTGCAGTTGGTCAGGCCCTGATACTTGCGCATGGTCACCAGGTTGACCCTCATTTTCACGACCCTTTCAAATTTAACTCGACTTAGATCACTTTGAACGTTTTTTTATTTTTGGGAAATTCTAAACTTACGGCATACGTTCCACACAGGCATCGATTTGTAGCCAGATCAGCATAGAGCTGGACAAACATATGATTAATAGGCGCCACATTTTTTGTTCTCTTTGGATTTTTGGCGATTTTAATTGTAAAAAAAAAACGTACCACTCGCTTTAATGCACAATTAACAAATGAACGGACAAATGAGAATTGAATTGCAGACAGATCGGACCGGACTTGTGTGTGCTTGAGCTTATCAGAGCTAACATATATATGAACCATATACATACATATATGTGTATATATATTATATATGCGTTTGTTGAACCCAGTGTGGCCAAAACAACGACCTCATCCTACTCCAATGGCCGACTGGTATTTGCGATATGCCTCAAGTTGTCGCCGAGGTCCTTAACATTGAATTCAGAGATTTCGCTTATCGGAGCTAGAGAGCATTTACTATGTGACATCAAAGTAAAATCAAAAACCATTTATTTATTTATAAATCAAACAATATATTGTAATTAAATATTTAACGAAACGATCTAACGAATCGATCTCAGAGCTGGTATTAATATAGATCAACGAAAAAGAAAATAAACTTGAAGAGCGCATCTGAATATAATGTAGGCATTTGTGATTATATGGCCTTGTATAAATGGTAGACCGATAATATGGGGCAGTATATTTTTAAGAAATTCGGTTTCATGCTTTAAGATAACAACATTTAAATAATTTATGTGTAATTATAAAATGTAGGGAATTCCATTTTTATAATTTTGTTTGCTGGCCCACAAAATACACTCTTGTTATTACTCGTAAGATCTATTTGAACCCCCCATATTTCGATTTTAACAAGAGCGAAACCTAATTTGACATTTTTAATTAGGTTCGTTTGAAGTCTGATTGGCGCATTGGCAGACAGTGTTAAGTTGGCTGCACACGAACAGTGTGACCAATATGTAGCAAGCAGTTGAATGCCATAAAGTGCAAATTATTGGCAGCACTGCATACATACTAACTAGGCAGCACTGTTTAGTAGCAGTTATTTAAATTTATGAGTAATTTTCAATATTTTAAACGAGTTTTAAACTTGTAAATTAAGTTCTTAAAATTGTATTTCAAGGTATGATATTTAAATATGTTTAATCAAGGTTTTTTACATAATTTTCTATATAAAGCAGTCTCAGGGGAAAAATGAGAATTCAAGAATTTTGGGAAACAAATTTTGTCGCACCTGCTTCAAACCTAATTCCAAAGCTCTACACAAAATATTTTGAACACATGTTTGAAGAATGAGTGAAAAATTATTGCATGCAACTATTTTGTTCTCCCTGCGTTCAATTTAAATTAATTTGTACAGAATAAAATTTCATTGAAGTGGTGTTTCGCACATTTCGTATTCTTGTTCCATTCAGGAGTCACGCAAATAAAATTATGTTTACAAATCTTTTGCAATATCCACAAATATACATATATTTATATAACTATTTATAATGCTCTAATCGAAAAGGTTTCTGCGGTTACGAAATCCAGGCTATAAAAGGCATTCAGCATTAAACCGTGAATCAGTTATACATAAAAGTTCGTAGAGCAAACTCCATAAAGGAGTATTGTGAAAATATCGCGTTACGCAAACATGTGTGGAGCTGGGCGTATGCTGTTTCCAATATGCTTGCTCCTGGCATATTTCAACTACATTCTGTGTGATGGTGCCCCAAATATGAACTGTTTGCCCGTGTTGGTGGCCAAAAACAAAACAATTTCAGAGGAGGTGACGCACTTTCGAATGGGACCAAATGGAGCGATGCGCGAAAAGAAAATCATGGAGCATTACAACGTTACAGTGGTATAAAATATATAAAACTAAACTGAAATAAAAAGAAGGAAAATAATAGTCTACGGCACGCCGAAGATTAGATACTCTTGTGGAGTTGTGACAGTTTTGCAAACATGTGAGGAGATAATTGAAGCTCATCATAACAAAGGATAGCTTGCAAAAACTATAAAAACTCATTTGCATTTTACAAACTCTTTCTTTTGAGCTAAATAACATACTATTCCGATTTTGATATAAGATTTAAAATGATATGTTAGTTTTGTACACAAAAACTTAATTGCTGACCGATTGTTTCTATAGCAGCTATTTAAGAAAGTGGTCCGAGTGGTCGGTTCCTTCATATATAAAGGCTAACTCGCATAGAAATAGTGAGATCAAGAACTATATGTTTATTAAGTGAAAACTCACTTAGTGCTCGTCTAATAGCGAGGGAATGGTTACGGTTGGATTTGGCAGGGGTGTCCGCCCAATGAGAGTGCTCGCTACTCTACTTGATGGCGTCGAAGATGTCTTGTTGTATGTGTTACTTTTATGACAGAACTATAACTTTCTCTACAAGAGTATAAAAATATAAATATTTATGTATATCTTTATAAACAAGAAAGGTGTTCACCTAATAGGTAGGCAGAGAATATCCGGCGAATTGTCCGCGCAGATGTAAGCCCAAGTGCAGTCGTCATGCGAATTGTGTGCAGCGTGGACAGAATGAGCAACCGGAATGTGTTTGCCACGAAGGTTATCGATTTGAAACTATAAACGACGAGATGCGTTGCATGCCGCAATGCGATCGGAACTGTGGCAAGCACACCTATTGCCCCAAGCCTGGTGCCTGCAGCTGCTGGAAAGGCTATCAGCGAGCCGTGGAGAATGCGACAAGCTGTGAACCCATTTGTCAGGCAGACTGTGGACTCCATAAACACTGCGCCAAGCCCGATCTGTGTGAGTGTGACGCTGGTTACCTGACGGATGCACTGGGTCAGTGTAGGCCCACATGTAAGGCCTGTGGTGCAAATGAAGAGTGCGTGCAGCCTGAGCAGTGCGTGTGCAAGGCGGGCTATAAACGGAATACGGAGGGTCTGTGCCGTCCACAGTGCTCTCAGGCATGTGCGCTAAATAAATACTGCGCCCGACCGGAAGCATGCGAATGCCTAGCTGGCTACAAGGCAGACATGTTGGGCGTTTGTCAGCCCATCTGCGGCAAGGAGTGCGCACCGAACGAGGCGTGCAAAGCGCCGGAGCATTGCGATTGCCTCGAGGGCTACAAGCGAAATCAAACGGGCAAGTGTGAGCCAGAGTGTTCCAAGGAGTGCCGCCTAAATAGCCACTGTGCCCGGCCAGAGCTGTGCCTGTGCAGCGAGGGCTATGCGGACGACAAGTGGGGCAGATGCCAGCCCCAGTGCAGCATGGAGTGCGCTGCTCATGCGCGCTGCACTCAGCCGGAGCATTGTGAATGCGACGTTGGCTATCAGAAGGATAAGCGGGGCGCATGTCAACCCAGCTGCCAGCAGGATTGTGGTGAGCATGGCTACTGCAGCGAGCCGAACAAATGTAGCTGCCTGGCTGGCTATCAGATGTCCGAGCAGGGCCAGTGCACGCCCATCTGTGTGGCATGTGGCAAGCACACGCACTGCTCCCAGCCGGGCAAATGCGAATGCCTGGCAGGCTATGTGCGAGCGGCAAATTCCGAGAGCGCAGACTGCCAGCCCAGCTGCCCGGAAGATTGTGGTGTCCATGGCTATTGCAGTCAGCCAGGCGCATGTGCCTGCCATGCGGGCTATGAGCTGGATGCGGAGGGCAGCTGCGCGCCCATCTGTGCGCCGCAATGTGAGCAGCACAGCTATTGTGTCAGTCCGGGCACCTGTGCCTGCCGGCCCGGCTATTCGGGCGAGGGCAATCACTGTGCGCCACAGTGCAGCATAGAGTGTGGCGACAATAGCTACTGCGACGAGCCGGAAAAATGCGAATGCGTTACCGGCTATACGCCGGATGATGCGGCTAGTCGCAACTGTTCCAGCATGACTGCTCTCTGGTTCATCGTTTTTGTTTGCATATGCGGCTTTTTGGCTATCGCTGGACTTGCCTCATGTGTGGCCTTTGTGCTTGGCAGGCGCTATAGGAAACCCACCTATTGCTCCCATACGGATACGACTGGTTCGGATCTGCGTTCCATTGATCTGCGTCCATTCGATACGAGTGTGGAGGGCATTCAGAATAGCGCATTTACTACGGAAAGTATTTAAGACCCCTTTTCTATATTTAACAGAAAAAAAGAAGAAATTGATATTTTCATTCTCTATTAAAATAAGCATGAATCAATTGTATGTGCTATTGGAAACGCTTAGGAACAACTTTTCATGCGGTTTCTTTGTGACGCATCGAAAAAACCTCAAATAGTATTAAAAATAAATCATTAGGCGAGTTTGCTGCGTGTTCAATCAGTGCCGTTGAGCGCTAAACAATATATTCTATATTAAGTACACATTTTAAAAAATCTAACATTTTTTAAATTTTTTATTTCCAACCGAAAGTGTTGAGGTATTCGGTATGATGTTGTGACAATATAGACATTAAGTTTTATTTAAAATATTGCTCAGGTATCCGATTCTATACTTTATTAAACATTATTTGCTCTGAGTGATTGACTGACCATTTGATTGACTATCTAATTGGCTGGAAGATGGATTTACTAATTGATCGAATGACCTACTTGAAAACTTATAAACAGACCGACTGACTGATCTACTGACTGATTTGTCGATCTACTAATTCACTGTCTAATTGGCTGAGAAGTGAATTTACTAACTGATTGACTGATTGACTAACTGTCTGAATAACCTACTGATTGAATGGCTGACTAGCTCAATCACTGACTGCCTAACCCGAATGTTTGAATGAATTGCTAACTAACTCGACCGACTATCCAATTGGCTAAAAGGTGGATCAACAAACTGATTGACTGGCTAACTTACTGATTGACTGAATACTTGAATGATTGACTTAATGGCTTAGTGCCTGCATTTTGAATATAACTGATTGCAAGAGCTTTTTATTCAGCTAACGTAAAATTCATAAATTCTACACAATAGCTTAAAAACTAACCAATAATAGTATTCATAGATATATTTATATACTTATCTTACTTTAAATAAACATTAAATATATAATTTATTTTACATCTTTATATCTTATGTTGACCGAGCCGTGACCGAGCCGTGACTTTCTATTAACTTTTAACTCAAAAGGGGTGCATTTGAACTATTTAATTATGGCAAACTCTTAAATATGCATTGCAACGTAAAGCCTATTAAGTATAAAGTCCATATAAATGTATAATGTATATTAAGATATGAATCTCTATGTATAAAACTGTTTGTCCTGACTGATTGACTGAGGCAGCCGAAACCTTAAGAGCTAGGAAGCTGAAATTTTCACTGTGCGGAGTTTCGGGAAATTTTACCCGCAAGTGTGCAAAAATTGCGAAAAACGTTTGTATGCAACTTATTTGTTTACCATCCGATCGGCCTCAAACTTATTTTCAAAGATCTTTGTTCAAATTTATTTGATGGGTGTTATACACTTTTCGAAAAATGCATTCCTCCTTGGAGGAAATGGAGGTCAAAGGTTTGGTGGGTCGCGTTTCGCCATTGCATGGATCTGCATAAAAATAATTTCGTGCTCAAATTCTTTTCCAAGGATCTATATGAAAAATCATCTGAGACGTGTTTCACATTTTCCGCAAAAATAAAACCTTCCTTGATAGGAACTGCGGGTCAAAGTTTTTTTGGGAGCAGCTTTAAGTTGTGTCCGATCGTCCTCAAACTTACATTCATAGCCCTACAAAAGGACGATTCTAGCAAAGTTTATTGTTTACTACCCGTTCGACATTAAAATCAATTTCAAATGCACCCTTCGTAGATGATAAATGCGGGTATAACCCGGCAAGGCCGGATAATAACCGCTGGTAAATATATATAAAGATTTAATAAAATATAAACTTCCCATATGTTGAATTATTTTTTTCTTATGTGGGTTCACTTTGATAAAGTTCTAATGTGTTCCAAGGTCTTCAGTACTGTAGTTGATAACATATGTAACTCTTTCTCTCTCTATCTTTCTCTCTCTCTCTTTCTTTCTCTCTCTCCCTTGTTCTCTGTTTGTCTCTTACTGGTATTACAGTCAGTCAGGCGGAGACTTGAGTTCATATTAGTATTATGATTAATTCAAATGCTATTTCTAAATTTTTAATGCAATTTTCTCTTATCAAATAATTCAGCAAAGCTTTCGCAATGCATTTGAGTTGCAATATTTGATTTTATCAAGTTCAAGCAATAAGAAATTTTAACGGATGTTTAGTCAAGTTGCAAAACAGATCCGCGTCTCAGTTGAGTTTAAAACGCGCTTCTGATCTGAACCAAAGTCAAAATTTGATGTATCAAATTAAACAATTGTTAAATAATGTATAGTTTTTACAATTTTTTGATCATTTTGCTGTTGATTTTATATCTGGTTACAAGTACAGCAGCATATGGATCAAATGTGTGTACTAGGAGAAAATATTTATCGTACCTTCATCACCCGCAACCTAATAACCTGCCATATCATAGAGGTTACTGGCCTTATAATTATTTTAGCGAATTGCAACAAGAGGTATGTATCCAAGTTGATGTTTATTTACCAAATATTAATACAGATAAGACAAGCTTTGGGTAAATTAAGCTCACTTTTAGGATATTATTATTATATTTTTACTTTCAAACAATAGTTATCAAGGATAGAATTAAACCGGCTCGAAATGGAAAATATTATTTTTATTTTTACCATAAACCGAACTGGTAATCAGTTGACCAAAAAACAGATCAAACTAAGGTTGAGTTAGTTGTAATAAGACGAAAAATAACATTAATTTTATTATTATACTATAATTATTAATTTTATTAAAACTATTAGAATAGTACATAATACAGAAATCCGAAAATTAAAACTAATATCGAAGGACGAACAGAGTTAATTGTGAATCAAAAAATAATAATTTAGTCATACTCCTAAATAGCTTGAGATTAGGCCACACTAGCAAGACTATTTGTCTGTAGCACCAGGGAAATGTTGACTAATAGATACCCTAACGCCACTTTTTGGGTACATTAACTTAAATGGAGTGAACAACTTTTGCAATATTACTTATTTGATTTGCGGACAATGTTGGGTTTTCTTTGTTTTCTGATCATGTTTAGAAAACACAAAAACAGACGAATATGTGATTATAACTAATATACACTTCACACACACTATTTTGGGTAGCGCCTATCGAAATAAACGGATGTGTTTGCAAATCTGTAGCTTTTGTGCCCGTCCGACTCTCAGACTTCGAGCAGTTGTGCTTGAATTGTGCTCGTGATAGCTACTTGAATAATTTGAACAATGCAGTTTCTATATTTAAGGACATGTTTGTTGTTTGTCCTTGTTGGTTTTTGTACAACAAAGTTGTGCACTCGTTTGAAGAAATTATCTTACACACAAATGGTGCCAAAAACCGTGACAATTACGTACAAAACGTGGGTTTTGGGAAAAACTAAAAATCGAATTGATTTGCGCTATTTTCCCGAGGTTAGACAAAAATTAAATAATAATTCAAGTTGTTTATTACATATACATTTATTTTATTATTATTATTTTATTATTGTTATTATTAACATTATTATTATTGTTATTTTTGTTATTATTATTAATATTATTAATATGATTATTAATTTCAATAATATTATTGTTATTTTATTTTATTTTTATAAGACTGTGTTATTCAATTTATTATTATTAAAATGATTATGATTATGATTATGATTATGATGATTATGATTATGATTATGATGATTATGATTATGATTATGATTATGATTATGATTATGATTATGATTATGATCATGATTACGAATTTGGTTATGATTATTATTATCATTAATATTATTATTAATATTAATACTATTTTGTTTTATTTTATATTATTATGTCGCAGACTAAATACAGATATGAGACGGAATATTATTGCTGTCTTGGCTACGAAGGCTCAGCTTTCAATTGCAAGCCCGTTTGTGGTGCAGGTTGCCCCAGCAACGGATACTGCAGCGCTCCGGATCAATGTAGCTGCAATTATGGATATTCTGGTGCTGATTGCAGTCCCATTTGCCACAGCTGTGGCAAACACAGCTATTGCCAGTCGCCGGCTGTGTGCCAATGCAACACGGGCTTCAGCCGGACAGACACATCAGACGATTGTCTGCCGCAGTGCATTCAGTCGTGTGGTGATCACAGCTTCTGTGCGGCACCAGATACCTGTGAGTGTGAGCTGGGCTACGAGAGATCCGTACCCGAAGCAGCCTGCCTGCCCGTGTGCGTGTCCAGCTGCGGTGCCAACAGCTACTGCATGGCGCCCAATCTCTGTGAGTGCCACGAGGGCTACAAGGAAGAGGATGGGGCATGCCGGCCCATCTGTGAATCGGGCTGTGGGCTAAACAGCAGTTGTGTCAAGCCAGGAGAGTGCCAATGCGATGAGGGCTACACGAGCTCCGAGGAGGGTAGCTGTCAGCCCATCTGCAGTCAAGGATGTCCGGAGCACAGCAGCTGCAGCAGACCTGGAGAATGTCAATGCGACGAGGGCTACACGAGTTCCGAGGAGGGTAGCTGCCAGCCCATCTGCAGTCAAGGATGTTCGGAGCACAGCAGCTGCATGTCACCGGAGCTGTGTGCATGCAGCCCTGGTTATGTCCAAAACAAGGAAAATCTGTGTGAACCCCATTGTCCAAAGGGTTGCTCTGACTATGCAAGATGTGTGGCACCCGATGTGTGTGAATGCTATCCCGGCTATGAGCGGTCGCAAGCTGAGCAAAAATGTCAACCCACTTGCAGTCAGGGCTGTCCAAATGGCGCTTGCTTTGCGCCCGAGGTCTGCGCCTGCAACCCTGGCTACCTAATGGGTCCCAACAACAACTGTGAGCCGCAATGCAGCCAGAGCTGTGTACATGGCAACTGCATCGCACCGGATCTGTGTGAATGCGAGCCTGGACATCGGTTCGCTCCAGATTCGCGGCATGTCTGCGAGCCCATCTGTGAGCCGGCCTGCCAGCTGGGCACGTGCCTAGCGCCCCAGATATGCATCTGCCATTTGGGACATGAGCCGATGGGTCCAATGAGCTCAGGGTTGGAGCACGTGTGCAAGCCCAGCTGCTCGACGAACTGTGTGAATGGCACTTGTCTGGCGCCGGATGAGTGCAGCTGCAATGCGGGCTATGTGCCCGCAGACGGAGCCAACACCAATGTCTGCAAACCCAACTGCAGTCGCGGCTGTTCCAATGGCGACTGCGTGGCGCCCGAGCTGTGCCAGTGCTATCCTGGCTACGAGAGCACCGCAGCTGGCTGCCAGCTGCAGCTAGAGACGACCACCGACTGGATGACAACGACAGTGGCCACCACGGAGCAGCAGCCACAGCAGCTGCTGCAGCAGCCGTGGAAAAATTGCAGCATTGGCTGCCGCTGCTGGCACATGTTGACTGATGTGGCGCAGACTGCGATCAAGTGCATCAACATCTGCAGGGATGCCTATGACCAGCCCTGCCTGGAACTTGGCCAGTGCCGTTGCGTGGAGCCAACGGGTCAGCTGCTCTGCCCGGCTGCGGATGGGCAGCCGGAGCAGCGCTTGGTCTGTCAAGTGCAAGATGCAGCCAGGGCCAGGGACCCTGGCGAGGCGGCACTCAACGCCGAACAGACTAAAGCCAGTGCAGTCAAATGGCCAGCAATCCTGGCCTGGTGCCTGGGCAGCTGCATCCTCTTGCTGGTCCTGGTTGTGGCCAGCCACGTCTACTCGAAACACAGACGCCAAAAGGCGCTTGCTCAGCAAGTCGATGGACTCAGCATTGTCAACTTTGTCCATGATTCTTAATACAATTTTAATACCTTTATGATTACTATAAATATTGTTATCACCTCTCGAGTATCTCATATATCTTTAAACTATTGTGAAGGATCTGTGTGGAGTATTTAAGGCATTGATCCTGCCTCTGTAGATTAACATCAATTTCTTCAGTATTTGTTAAATTTAATGAAATTATATTTTATTTATAATAACAATTACAAATAAAGCAAGCGATCGTAAGGTTCTTGAAGCTGACTCTCAGAAGGGCACACAAATCGTGGACTGTTCGTGATACGTAAAGCCGGGATCACAGATGCAACGATTGCGACTCACACAAATCCCGTTGTAGCATTTTCTGTGGAATATACATCAAATATAAAAGTCAGGTAAGATGTTTGTGTTATGCATACATATAGTATATTCATTTAACTATATCTATATATATATATATATATATCTATTATATATTTTATATAAACTAAACCATGATCAAAATTTACATCAATTTCTATCTAAGCTCAAATCCGTTTTAAAGCTTTACTCGCCCGAACCCGGAAAACCGTGTCTTATTCATATATCTTAGTCTTCCAATCATTTTGCTATTAAAGCTTACACTTTTCATATATTACACAAATTCAGGAAGGATATTTAATCTTCGACCAGCCAAAGGTTGTCGTTTATTTTTTTTTGTATATTTTTTATACATTTATTTTTCGCTTTTTTAAAATTCGATTTGAGCCGATTCTAACCAAATCCCAAGCCTGCTGCATCTGGAAAATCTGTAACCAAATTTCTAGGCAGCAGTCTTTTTTTTGTGGGCAGGGCAACCAGCTGTGATGATTTTGTCCGTCTATCCTTTTGTCCGTCTACAATCTGTGGGAACGCTTCGATTGCGGAAACTATAAAAGCTAGAGACTTGAAATTTATATGACATACAGAGAGTGAGCTTATACTTTTTTGTTCCGATATCTTTTCTCATTTTCCTGATAACGAAAAATGTCGATGTTGACAAATAGTCTCTTAGCCATAGCTCGAAAACTATAAGAGCTAGATCTAACACAACTTCATTATATCATACTAGCGGGTATAACCCGGCCTTGCCCGTGGAACTTATGTTAAAAATCAACGTTCTCAAAAAGCTTTGAAAATGATTTTGAAACTTATCGGACGGTAAACAAACAATTTTCATAGAATCGTTTTCCACCAATTTACCAATGTTGCGAGTGGAATTTCCCAAATCGCTGAAACACATATTCATTATATATTATTATTATTCTTATGTAGAGCTTTGAAAATAAGTTTGAAGCAAATCGGACACAACTTAAAACTTCGCACAAAAAATCTTTGAGTCGCATTCCTCCCGAAAAGTTTGGATTCTGCGAAAAGTGTGAAATACGTCTCAAATGATTTTCTTATAGATCTTTGGAAACGAATTTGAACACAAAACGTCATCCACCAAATCTTTGACCTCCATTTCCACCAAGGAGGAACGGATTTTTCGAAAAGTGTGAAACACCCCTCAAATGAATTTGAGCAAAGATCTTTGAAAAAATAAGTTTGGGGCCGATCGGATCGTAAACAAAAAACTTTCATACAACCGTTTTCCGCTAAGTTACCACTGTTACGGATGGAATTTCTCAAATCGCTAAAACACGTATTTATTAAGTTCTTATGTAGAGCTTTGAAAATAAGTTTGAAGCTAATCGGACACAACTTAAAACTTCGCCCAAAAAATCTTTAAATTGCATTCCCTCCGAAGAAGTTTGAATTCTGCGAAAAGTGTGAAACACGTCTCAAATGATTTTTCTTATAGATCTCTGAAAATGAATTTGAGCGCGAAACGTCACCCACCAAATCTTTGACCTCCATTTCCACCAAGGAGGAACGGATTTTCCTAAAAGTGTGAAACACCCCTCAAATGAATTTGAACAAAGATCTTTGAACATAAGTTTGAGGCCGATCGGATTGTAAACAAAAAAGTTACATACAAACGTTTTTCGCGATTTTTCCACACTTGCGGGTGGAATTTCCCGAAACCCCGTCTTAACGTGCACCTACATCACATAAGGTAGCTACAGTGAAAATTTCAGCTTCCTAGCTCTTACGGTTTGGGCTGTGCGTTGATCACCAATCAGTCAGTCAGTCAGTCAGTCAGTCAGTCAGTCAGTCAGTCAGTCAGTCAGTTTTATATATAGAGATAAAACATATTTCATTATTTGACTATCTCCACACACCTTTCCCCATATAGAAACGCTTGGAAAAATCATAAAGACAACGAAGTTGATCAAGAATGCATTTCCCATATATAGTCAGAGGAAGTTTGTGTAAGGAAGTTTGCAGTATCGAAATACTTACTGATAGCAATCGCTCTGGCAGACGCCATCCTTGAGCGTGTAGCCAGGACCGCAGTCGCACTGATTGTTGTCCCTGCAGATGCCACCGATGCCGCAGTCCGGGTCACAAACGGGCTGGCAGCCTTCATTGGTCAACTGATAGCCCTTGGCGCAGCTGCAGACCTCCGGTTCGGTGCAATTGTGACGCGGGTTATTGCCGCAGCCGCTGCTGCAGATGGGCCGGCAGAAGCGCCGGGTCTCGTCCAGCATGTAGCCCATGTCGCACTGGCAGCTGCCGTCCAGATAGCAGCGTCCGTTCTGGCAGCCAATGGGACACGCGAAGACGCAGTCGCCGTTGTCATTGCGCACAAAGCCCTCATAGCAATCGCACTCGCCGGGCACACGGCATCCCCCGTTCTGGCAGCTGCAAATGGGCCGGCAGACGGTGACGCCCTTCAGGCGGGTGGGCGTGTATCCGGTGCAGCAGACCTCGATCGAGGACAGCTTGTTGGACATGTCTGTCTGGATGAGACTGGCCAGCGGATATTTGGACACAGTTTCCGCACTAAACGCAGGGCAAACAGTTTTGTCAAAAATATACGCTCTACTAACGGGCGGACAGTCAATTGAAATTGGAATTGTGGCTGTCCGCTCAAGAGAGATCGTCTCCGGCTACTTACGGTACCCAAATGCGACATTTGTGCTGGTCACGACTCGGAACGCCCTCGTGGGCACGCAGCAAATACTCACGCCTAAGCGGCTGCTGGGCTGCTGTCTGCTCCACCATGTCAAAGTTCACGGTGCCCGGACGCTGGTAGAGTGTCTGTGGGGCAGCATGTTGCCTGTTGCCACCGCCAGCATAGCGATGCCCCTCCTGCTGCCCCCGTCGGTTGTCATAGCGAGTGGGCGCATCATATTCCGAGTAGCTGGGCACATGCGCCCCAATCCTGGCCAGGCACATCAGCAGCAGCAGCAACTGGCTTAGACCCTGGGCATGCCTGAGAGCACGCATTTTGTTGCCCACGTCCTCCACTTTTATTTTCGATTCAGTTTTCGTTGTTTGCAAACCACTTGCTAAATTCCAACTGAGATCTCAAGTTTCGCTCGCGTTCCACTGCCCCAGTCATTTTCTGTGGACCGCTTATCAGTTGTTTTGCTTTTTAGACCCAGCATTTCGGGCATGTTCTCATTAGCATCTCAAGTCTCCCAACTAAGCTGGCTCCAATAGTATTGTGGGTCCATTAGGCCGCTTACCGTAAATTTTTTTATATTTTTACCTATTTCAATTTATCAAGGGTCGTTAACTTTTGAGTTTAAGTCGATCCAAAAAAAATATTTTTAAATCAGTTGATTATTTTTTATGTTTCTTATAAACTTACATTTTAATTTAGAAATTCCATAAGTAATAGTACTTGGGCATAACACAATACATTTAATTTATTATTAATAAATTTGTTGTGCTAAAATGTCTTTATACGCACAATATTTATTAATAATAATCCAAAGCAAAGCATACAACATTTTATTTAATTATTAAAGTAAATTAATTCATTATTTAATAATGAATGTTGCTTAATATTGCTACGTATACGTAATGTAGCAGCTTGCGATATTTATGTGTTTATATGCCTCTCTCACTCTCCCACTGCCTCTGTCTCTCTCGCTCTCTCTCTCTAACATTGTCTTGCTTTACAGATCTCTGAAGTACTCTTAATAAATCTAGTGGCTCGCCGTCTCTTGCTAATATTTTTAATTGAAAGCCCGTTGGCTTATCGCTGCTTCCCTCGCAGCTGCGATTAAGCGCTGACCCGTTTCTCCAACTGCTGCCGCTGCTGCTGCGGCTGCTGCTGCTGCTGCCACACAGTAAACAACTGAGACTTGAACGCTGCAGTGCCACAGGCGGCGACGCACTGGATTGGCATCGAGTCAAACAGGAAACGAATCAGTTGCTCCCAACTACTATTAAAATATGTCCAAGCTGCTGCGCGCCGTGGCCCTGCAGGCCGGTCTACTGCTGATCTACCTGTGCCTGATGCACGCCCTGGAGCTGCAGTTGCACGAACAGCAGCTGCAGCAACAGCTGCTCGACGAGCAGCTGCGCCTGCACCAGCAACAGCAGCTGCTGCAGCAGCAGCGCGAGCAGCAGCTCCAGCAGCGACGCTATTCCTCGACGACATCCACACGCAAGCCCTATATCATACCCCAAGGCCTGTCACTGCCCCAGCGAGGCGTCTATCCGGATAAATGCTACCGGGAAGTGCCGTAAGTACAGCTAGAGATTAGAGTTAAATATTTGTGGAATATTTGACAATTTGTAATCCTATCTGAAAAGTGTTGTGAAAACAATTTTGGGCGATATTTGAATAGAGTCATAAATAATTATAAAGAGAAAAATATATATAATGTTTATACCTCAAAGTCTCGTCTCAATTGCACAAAAGAAATAACTTTTGTTTTAATTATTTAGAAGATATCTCGAAATCGAATTATAATTAATTATTTAATATACAAAATTGTTATAATTAAATTTGTAACAAAATGTTTTACCTTCACGGAAGCTCATCTCTAAACTTTGTGTGGCTAAGAAGACAGAAAGTACAGTGATCCCTCGTATATGTAAATTTGTTTGTTTCTGGAGCATATTTAACTAGGCAAATAATATATTTTAATGTCCTATTTATAACTTCATTCATATTTGTTGTAAATGTAAATGTATGTGGTAAACTTACCAGATTATTAACGAAATAACTTTTGAATACTTCCACGTTGCCGCGAAATTGATGAATATCATTAATTGAGCATATCTTGGAGAAGTACGCAATATTTCGTTTCCGTTTCCCACAATATTTAAAAGGCAAAATATGATTTTAATTACCAAGTTGATATATTTTGCATTATTTACATTTTGTTCATTTTTTATCCAAAATATTGTGTTTTCTTTTTCCTGTGCTGGATTCTTGTCTTAATTCTGCTAATAACCCGTCCTGCAGAGCGGTTTTCTTTCAGTACGACAAGGAGCTCAAAATCGTGGGCAACAGCAGCACGAATCCCTACTTCAACGTGATCGAGGTCTGCTGCAAGGGCTGGCGCCGTTACGAGTACGACTGGTCGAGATGTGTGCCGGACTGCGGGGAGCGTTGCCGGGAGAATGGCTTCTGTCTGCCGGGTGGACGGTGTCAGTGCTTTACGGATTTCGTGCTCAACTACCGCAACGATTGTGTGCCCACCTGCCCGCTGGGCTGCCCCCATGGCCAGTGCTATTTGAATGGCACCTGCCGCTGCGAGCGGGGCTACGAGCTGGATGGCTCGAAACGGTTCTGCCAGCCGCAGTGCAATACGACCTGTGGCCACAACGAGGTCTGCCTCGAGCCGGGCAAGTGCGTCTGCGCCGAGGGCTTTGCCCGCGGTCTGCGCGAATCGAATGCCCTCGGCTGTCAGCCCATGTGCATACCCGACTGCGGCTATGGGCACTGCGTGGCGCCCAATCAATGCGAATGCTTTCCGGGCTACCAGAAACGCATGAATCGCAGCTCCTGTGAAATCAATTGCTACATGTAAGTAATTAAGTTAGGGGTTAAGTTAACGGCAAAAGATTAATTTAAAATTGGGGATATATATAAACTCATATTTTAGAAATGGGTATGAATATAGGTTGAACTAACAATCCAGGCATAAAACAATTGAAACTTTTTTTATACAGTCAACAATTTTGATTCTCATACTCATCAAAATTTATGGAATTTTTCATAATGTAATTTCACGAGGTTAAAGCATGAATACAATATAAAATAGGCATGATTAACATGGATTTTTCCAGATTTATTAAAGTTAGTATTTATATTATTTGGTTGCTATTTATATGGTTTAATTTCACAAAAGACATTTTTTGTAATATAAAATATTAATTCTGTTTTTTTTATTTTAGTACACTTTTACAATTAAATATTAGACAATTGTGTAAAATATAAAGAACCCCATTTAATTATATCTTGAATATAAGATTGTTTCACAAAATAGCTCCCAAAGCCAAAAGCATATTTAAACCAAAACATCTCGTCTCAACTTAATCATATATTACTTAATTAGTTGTCCGTCCCACCTTTAGTACGTTAGTCGATCTCAGAGAGTATAAAATGAAACTCCGCTACAAACAGATCCAGTTTGCTTAAAATGATCGATAACTTGTTCCGTTTGCCTGTGCTCGATAAAAATCGATATCAAAATTATGTCTGTTGAGTATAACTCGAAACTTTTAAGAAGACTCACAATTTACCATATAGTTCTCTGTGAGATTATATGAAGCTCTAAAGTAATTCCTCCTTTGAATACTTCCCCCGTATTCTCCATAATTGTAAATAAAACTCATTTGTAAAGCTATAGCTAAAGGATTTTGGTAGTTACGCATATTCGAATCTTGTAATTATGCACTGAAAATATCATCAAAATCGGTCTATAAGCATCATAATTACCTGATTTTTAATGGTATATATCTCTCTCTTTCTCTCTCCCACATAGGCGCTGTGAGAATGGCTTCTGTGCCAATCAAACCACCTGCGTGTGCCAGAACGGTTACCGCTACGATCAGAACACCACCAGCTGCCTGCCGGACTGCGGCGATGACTGCCTGAACGGGGTCTGCGTCTCGCCGGGCAATTGCCGCTGCTTCAATGGGTATGTGCGGAATCGGGAGCGCTGCGATGCGGTCTGTGAGCGCGGCTGCGGCTTCTATGGGCGCTGCATAGCGCCCAATGTGTGCGGCTGTGCGGTGGTGGCCGGACCCGAGTTGAGCTATCAGCGGTGCGAGAATGGCTACTGCAATGCGGAGGGGCATTGCCGCTGCCTGGAGGGCAAGACGCGATTCATAGACAAGTGCATGTCCCCGGATACGGTGACCACGTACGCCTCCATCAATCCGTTGCGGGTGAATGCCTCGCTAATGCACGAGTTCGAGCTCCTGCTGGGCAGGCATTTTATACTGGGCACCGCTGGCATGATCGATTCAAACAGATGGTGGGTCTAGGCTGGCGATAATAATAGGGATGTATAATCCCATATATATGCTCAAAATAAATTGTATTTACAATTTCGATGTCAAGCACAAAGAAATTGTTGGTTTCAACAAGAAATGCGCTGTGCTTATCAGTGAGGCAGGGGCGTAGCTATAGGGGGGGCTGTATTTGGACTCTGCGTGGTAATCACTTTCTGACAGTTCCACTCTAACTACACAGCTTGTTGCTGTTCCCTGTTATTAATATTTTATTTCGAAAACCCCTTTTAGCCTACGCCACTGCTCATTTCTAATCTATGCGCAATATATACACAGATCTGTTCTTTAAAAGCAGAGCTTAACACGAGCGCAGCTCAGTAGCTCGACAGTCCCGCAGTCGCAAGTGTATTACCCCAAAGAGAGAGAGAGAGTTAAAAAGAGGAGAGAGAAACATGCGCTCGCACATCAAAATATTTGGCCTGCTGATTATTTGCCTTACATTGTCACTGCCTAAGCACACATTTGGCCAATTCTGGAAACTGAGTCAATATGAGATCTGGAAGCGTGAGATGCTGGCGAGCCGTGAGTCGGGCATCTGCTACAAGACCCAACTGTAGATATAGCCAGTCTATCCAAGCCTGCCAACGATCTCAAGATCATATATACACATATATATTTACAGTGCTAATACTTTGAATCCGGAACTGAGGCAACGTCAGATCTCATATTGCTGCGATGGCTATGTGAATCGCGGCAGTTCCGAAATTCTGAAATGTGAGCCCATCTGTGCGGAGGATTGCAGTCATGGTATATGCCTCTCGCCGGGATACTGTGAATGTGCACCAGGATATAATAGAGAACGGGCCCAGTGTCGCAAACATGGGGATTAAAGCTGGAAAGGAAACCTAAATAAATGTCTACTATTAAACCAAGCCACCAAATTCAAATTCATGTGGCGTTATCCCATCAAAATGTTTTAAAATGTTTTTTTTTTGTATAGTTAAAACTTATTTTAGTTGCAGATCTTTTATTTTTAATATTCTTCAACTAACAATTGGTTGACATTAAGTCTTACAAAGCGTTAATGTATATCATATTAAGTCAATATTCCATCGATTTTAGATTTTCAAGTATGTACAGCAGACACCTACATGTAAATAGAGTATTTTTTTTTTAATATTAATATGTAGATGGCGGATAACCAAGCTGCCAGAGAGCATTTATCCAGACAATGGATATTGTGAATGGTGTCAGCGTGGGAAGTACTCGTACATTTTATCCCTGTTTATGCGCCGATGCTTTTGATTCCCTTACAGGTGTCTTTACTGCTTATACAAAAGAGAGTTTTTTAAGAGATTTGATTCTAATGGCAACTAAGCTCAAGTCATTAGCGCGTATACTTTCGATCCCGTTTTATCCAGCTGAGCGCATTGTGGTTGATGAGAGCGTTGGTGCAATTTTAACTTAGCGCAGGCGTTGTTTAGTCTGTGCGCGTCTGCCCTGTTTATCGGTTGCATTCTCCGCGCGTGTGTAGCCAATGCACCCATTCTAAGCTGCGGAGTTTGCGTCACAAGAAAGACAGAGTAAGTGTTATAAAATCCATGTGTAAAGTACTTACATATGTGTATTACCTGCAACTAATTGAATATTATTCGTTTTATTGAATAATAGTGCATAAATCTACTTAAAATACATAGCCTGGCAATTTCGGTTTGACTAATTTTTTTTTCTTTAAATTGTTTATAGTATGAAATATAGATATTTTTTTAATGCTGTCTGGCTGTGTTTCGCATTTCTATATGTGCGAGAATTGTCAATTCTTTTCCTTCCTTTTTGTTTGTTTATATAATGAAATGAAGTGAGCATAGTGAATGGATATAAATAATTTATTGTTAGCGTGGGAGAAAATATTTGAACGAGCCGAGCTTTTTTTACCGTTTGCTCTGCGGTTTGCAGCTTTTAAAAACTACTGTGAATGATCGGGTACTCAGCCAAAAGCCATTAAGCAAAAAGCGGACATGTAAATGACGTGCGCTTGCTAGTTATTATTGTTGTAATTGTGTTAGTGTAAATGCCGGCATTGTGTAGGCGCAAGCCCATTGCGCGGATTTAGTCTGTTTACGTCTACCTTGTTAAACGGTCACAATGCCTGTTATATCTGCATATGCCAATTAATCGTGCTGTGTTTTTGTTAATATATATGTAAATATATATTTTCAAATTAAAGCTTCATCGCGTTCTCCGTTTTTTGGCGTTATAACAACTTTTGACGCTTTGAAAGGCAGTGAGGGATTGGCAGACAGAGCGAAAGCTTACCTTATGTTAAGACGGAATAGGTTGCCGCTAACAACAACTCTTCATTTTATTAAAAAAAATTGCAAAAATCATATTAAGGTAATTAAACTTGAATTTTCAATTAGAACCTTTTATTTTAATGTACATATGTATTGTTGATAGAATGATTTTATTTGCGCAAGGTACGCATGTCTGTATGTATGTCTGTCTGTGTGTATGTCTGGTTGTATGCATATCTGTCTGTCTTTCTAACCTCATGTTCGCAATTCTTCATTACATACGTACGCTTATCCACCTCTACCTCTGTTTTGCTCATGTAGTTGACATTGTGGATGGAGTGAGCGTGGGAGATAATTAATTTGGGCTTTTATTACAGTTTATTTTGCATATTGCAGCTGCTACAACTATTGTGAATGTTATAAGCATCTGTTGATTAAGTTGACCGTCCAATTAAGAGAACTTAAGCAAAGAGCGCCCATTGCGCATAACGTGCGTATTTTAGTTACAAATGTTGTAATTGCATTAGTACATATGCCGGCTTAGTGTAGGTTCTTGCTCATTGCAACGATTTAGTCTGTGTCCGTCTGCTCTGTTCAATGTTCGGATACAGCGCGTGCGTATGTACATACATATGTATCAGTATTTTATCCGTTGCCGTCTGAGTGTGAGCAAGAGATAAGGAGTCAGTATTTTAGAGCTTTTATTGGCTAGCTAAATATTGTCTTCGTTTTAATATTTACCATTACAAACATAAATTATTTCAAATAATCTCTGTTTAAGTTTTCAATTAACAAGTTTCAAAATTTGATAGTTCTATATTTATATATGTGTACAACTCATATACAAACATTGGTAAATTGTACTTTTATTCATTTATCTGCTTGTCTGTCTCTCCGTTACATACATGCATTGCCATACAATATGTATGACCCACACTGTGTTGTGATTTATTATTTTAATTTATCGCAGTTAATATCAAATAATTGAAAGTTTAAGAAACAATAAAAATTTAGCAGGAAGGGAATATCTAGCGCCTAATAAAATCAATATTTTATCAAGCCTCAGTTTATTTTTAAATTGTAAACAGAGTATCGTCAGTCGGCTGCGACCGATTGAATTGTTCTCACTTGTTATTCTTGATGATTGCCTCATTTGGTGATCATTCATCGATTTCTCGGAAGTTCTCAAAAATTGAACTGTATATTGTTTGCTTGCCAGCCAGCGGGCAAATTAAAACATTGTGTTCTCTGAGCTTGGCTTAGGCCCGCCAATAACAACATATAAAAAATAACATCAGTAATAAACAACAGATGTGAGAGTAGCCTCCAGTATTATTGATAGGCAAATCGCGAGGTGCTGATTAAGCCGGAGGTCGGACTAGAGGCAATTCGCGATTTCGCTGCGAGGCATTTGAAATTGAATTTAAAAAATTTGTTTAGCGCTTAGTTAAAGTGCAGCAGCTGTGAAGAGCGGACGTGTGCAGTTCATCCTCCGCCTACTTAATCAGTTTTACATAGAGTTCTAAGCAAGCCAAGTGACGTCAGAGATCATGAGCTCATCGTGGCAGCTGCTAAGCTGGGCAGCGCTGATGCTGGCCCTCTGCGGTGTGGGCGAGGCGCAGTTCAAGACGGCGGGCATCAAGACCCGTCAACCTGTACAGGTGGCCGGCAATCTGCAGCTGTCGAGCAATGCCAGCAGCGAGTACACCCAGACGCAATATGGCAGCTATGGCAGCTACGCCAATTTTGTGCCCGCCGAGACTTATCAGGGCCCAGCCGGACACTACGTCCAGTCCCTTGACCAGGTGACGCGAGCTCCACAGGTGCTGGATGAGACGGCGCTCTTTATCAATAAAACCCGTTCGGCTATGGCCAGCGGCATCTGTTACAAGGAAGTGCCGTAAGTATGACCAGTGGAATGTTGGTCATATTATTCATATACATATGTACATACGTAAATTCCCATTGCATGAGCTTGAATTATTATCGCGCAGTTCTAAGTAATTGAAAATAGGGCAGCTACACATTGAACTAACAACCTCGACATCCTCGACTTGCCTGATAATGAAATGCGTCTTTAAGTTTAATTTCATTTGTATACATACATATATATTATCAATTTGTATATTTATTTAGTTTACATATTTATTTATGTCATACTCAAAGAACAAATGGGAATAGACCCTGAGCAAAATAATATGTATAAGAACTGAGCTAAGATGTTTTTGAAATAAGATATGCTTTAACTAGTTATACAAATACTTCAACAAATGCTAACTTCTCGGAGTTGATAAAATGTTCACATGTTAGAAGCATAGGGCACTTAAAATACCTCAATTTGGTTAAGTCTCTTTCAATTTGATGGTTCAGGAATGTGTATTCACACTAAGTGATGTCTTTTTCAATGCATTACATATTTTGTAATAAAATTATTGGGTTTTAAGTTCCGCCTATATGTAAATGAGAGTATTTGTTATTATCTTATTAAAAATTCTTTCCGTCTTTCACTCTTCTCTTTATATATATACCTTAACCTATTATTAACCTTATCTCACTCTCTCTCCTTCTCTTTATAGAACCGCCTCGTTGTTGCACGGCTCCAGGGAAAAGTATGTTGGCAACGGCACCACCCCAGAGCTCAGTCAGATTCAGGTGTGCTGCGAGGGCTACGAGCGCAATCCCCATATTTATCGACGCTGCGAGCCGATTTGCGAGGACAACTGCCCCAATGGCATCTGCACGGCGCCCAATAGCTGTGTATGCATACCAGGACATGTGAGGACCGATGAGGGTAAATGCATCTCCACCTGCCCACTGGGCTGCGGCAATGGGGTGTGCGATGATCAGAACGAGTGCCGCTGCCGAGAAGGCTACACACTGGACCCTGTTAGTCGCAAGTACTGCCTGCCGGAATGCAATCCGGGCTGCACCAACGGCCGCTGTGTGGCGCCCAACAAATGCGACTGCCTGCACGGCTATCGTCGTGCCGCCGATGGCAGCTGTGCTCCCGTCTGCGATAACTGTGAAAATGGACAATGCACGGCGCCAGGACAATGCAGCTGCAACTCGGGCTACCAGCAGCTGGAACGACGCTGCGAACCCGTTTGCGAGCAGTAAGTATGCAATACCATCAGTCACAGTCACAGCACCGACACATGCAGTCACAGTCCCACATTAACAGTCACACCTACAGTTGACAATCAAAATCACAGAAGACAACTATAAAAGTCACAGTACCATATAAACAATCACAGCCACATTCCCATTTAAACACTCACAGTCACAGTTTAGAATGTTCAGTCACAGCTGACTTACGACTGTTGTCACAGCATCCAAAATCACAGTCGCAGTTCGTAAATAAACGGTAACAGTCCCAGTCGCAATTATTTAACTATCACAGCAATCGTTACTGTCGCTTTCACTGTCAATTATCAACAAACACATTCACAGTGTTAATATAATATATATAAACAGTCGCAATCACAGTTCTCTCGTTGTCCCCACAAATCACAGTTCCTAATAACCATCAGTCACAATGAGTCACTTTTACAGTCACATTGCGTTATAAACAGTCACAATACCTAATATTCTCAGTCACTTTTCAATATCCATTGACATTAACAGTCTTCGACTTCGCCTTATAGTCGGAGTCTTAACTAAAAAATAACTTTCACAGACACGCAGTCCGAAATGAACAGTCACAGTGCACAAATTCACACTCATAGTCCGAAACAGTCACAATGAGTCACTTTTACAGTCACATTCCGATATAAACAGTCACAATACCATCTATTCTCAGTCACTTTTCAATATCCATTGACATTAACAGTCTTTGACTTCGCCTTAAAGTCGGAGTCTTAACAGTCACAGTGCACAAATTCACACTCATAGTCCGAAACAGTCACAGTGAGAGTCACGATCATCTTTACAGTCCGATCTTAATTATTTATACCTATATAACTCCTGCCCAACTCCCAACCCACAGACCCTGCAAGAACGGTGGCCGTTGCGTTGCGCCCAATACCTGTGAATGTGCGCCCGGCTACGATTGGGAGCGCAAGAGCGGATCGTGTGTGCCCCACTGTGATGCAGCCTGCCTGAATGGTGTCTGCATTGGCCAGAATCAGTGCGAGTGCAAGCCGGGCTATGTCTTGGATGAGCATCAGCCTAATATCTGCCAGCCGCATTGTCCCCAGGGCTGCCCCAATGGCTTCTGCAGTGCTCCCAACTTTTGCATCTGCAAGCCGGGCTTCATCAAGAGCGGCATCAAGGGACGTCAGAGCTGTCAGCCTGTTTGATCAACTCGAGTTTAATTATCGCTATTTTTTGCACTATTCAAATGTTACTTAAACCTACGACCAATTAAACAAACGTCCAATCAGCGCATTAAACTCGTAATTCAACTCGTCATCCCGCTCCTTGCGTCGTTGTCGGCTGCTCAGTTGTTGCTCAATCTGCTGCGGCTCCAGGCACTTGCCGAGGAAGTGCGTCCATCCGGCGGCGCACTGGCAATGCCCATTGGCATCGCAGCTGCCATTTACGCAATGCTGTTCATCGGGTCCACAGCCGCACACGTTGGGCGTTAGGCATTTTCCATAGTAACCGCAGGAGCTGTAAATAATCATATGGTACTCATGAGTGTTTAAATGGGTGTGATTCAAGGGGTGTATAGGTTAATACAGTCAGAGAAAAAAGAAGTTCTGCTTTGTTGATAGTGTGGTCGGTGCAGAATTCACATCGGTTTTGCTCCTAAGATTTCCAGTACCTATCTTTCTTGAGTTTTCTAAAATTAAGTATGAATGAGTCTTGTTTTTTTATTAAAAACTAAATAATTATAATATGGATTTTAAGACCTGAAGTAAGCGTAGAACTTTTTCCGTATAAGTGAAATAATTCTGAGCACTGTATTTTATGAATAAACTGGTGGGTATTGCCCGGCCTTACCCGTGGAACGTTTTGTGCTAAAAATGTTAGGTATTACCTTTCCACTAAGTACTCGCCCCTACTATCTTGATCTCCACTTCTATTTAAAAATAAGTTTTTAAGTGCATCGAATAAAGAACCAAATGCTGGAATTCTGAGGTTTCCGCCCTTGTTAGTCTTGTGGTAAGAATCTTGAGGCCGAATAAAAAACTTGCGTTTACAGACCCGCATTTTCGATCCAATAGCGTTGAGCTTTGCGAAGGCGTGTCAAATAAGTACTGATAAAAATCTTTGAAAATGAATTTGAAACCGATAATGAATAAAAAAATTAAGTTACTTTTTTTAGCCAAATTTTCACAGTTGCGGGTGGAATTTTCTAAATAGCTGAAAATAAGTTTGATGCAAAACGGACATAACTTAAAGATTAGCCAAAAAATCTTTGAAACGCATTTCTAACGAGAAAGTTTGGATTCACGTCTCAAATGATATTTCGATCACGAAACGTCACCTACCAAATCTTTGACCTCCATTTCCACCAAGGAGTAATGGATTTTTCGAAAAGTGTGAAACACCCCTCAAATGAATTTGAACAAAGATATTTGAAAATGAGTTTGAAGCCGATCGGATGGTAAACAAAAAAGTTGCATACAAACGTTTTTCGTGACTTTTAAAAAAAAATTGTTGCCTGATCAAAGCTGAGCTAAGATTATACTTAATTTGGGTACTAAATTGTTGAATGTTTGTTTACCGAAGTATATTTTCAAATTTGTAGAGTTTATATGTTATTTTATTTTCGATTTATTCTACTGCCTATTTGAGCTTCTCGAATGCTTTTAATTTATTATTAATATAACTCCTAGTAGCACAGCAAGATACAGAGAGTTGAGGAATTCGTAGATTTTTCGATTCGGCATTTTGAATTTACTTAAATTTGTTTGCAAATTTAGGGTTTAACTATTTTCGATCCTTCTAATTGACGTTTGCTTTCAATAGGCTAAGCCAAGTCCTTAAAAAAGCAACTATTCATATCTTAGTAAAATATTGTTATTCAACAGCACCAGTTGAGTTTAACAGAATATGTTAACAGATCTTGGAATATCGGTGCTTGGTGGCTATTCATTCCAATTAAAATGGAACTGCAGATTGTTTACAAAACAGCTGACTATGAAAACAATGTAGTGGAAATCACGGGTTAATTAATATTTTTTCTTTTTTGTATAGACTCACCCCTCGCACATAGGCTCACAGCTGTTGCCCCGCAGCTCGTAGCCCTGGAAGCAGCGGCAGATTCCGGGCGCAATGCAAACCCCATTGCCATGCCCGCAATCGTCCTGGCAGACGGGCAGGCAGCTGGTGGTGTTGTCATCATAGCGATAGCCCGCACGGCAGTGGCACTTGAAGCGGGACTCACAGAAGCCATTCTCGCAGTTGCTGCAGGGGATTTGGAAGAGGAAATAATCAGGCCAGGTGAGTTGCTAACAATTGAGAGAGTATAGCATGTAGTACCCACAGATAGCACTCGGCCTCGCAGACATTGCGCTGGCGCCGCTTCATGAAACCGGGAATGCATTCGCATTCATTGGGTGCCACGCATTTGCCGTAGCCGCAGTCCGGCGCACAGATGGGCTGGCAGCCCAGCTCTGGGATGCGTCGATAGCCCGGGCTGCATTCGCATTTGTCCGGTGCCACACACTGCTCATGCGTGCCACAGCCCTTGGGGCAGTGGGCGCGACAAAAGAGGCGCGTCTCCGCTTCCAATGTGTAGCCCGCATGGCAGGCACAGGTGCCATTCAGATAGCAGCGACCATGTTGGCAGGCAATCGGGCAGGTGTGTATGCAAGCACCCTGCTCGTTGCGGACAAATTCCGCAAAGCATTCGCAGCGTCCCGTTGCGCGACAGAAGCCATTGCGGCAATTATCCGGCGAACTGTGCCCACAATCCGGCACACAGTGTCCATTGTACGGATCCGGGCGATAGCCCTCACAGCACTGCTCAATGCGTTGATAATAAATGCTGGAGCCATTGCCGCGCACCGGCGTCTCCTTGTGCGTCTGAAAGAATATGGCACTACGGAAATATTCGATCTTTTTTAAGGTCATCTGGTGGCACTGTGTGTCATACTTACGGCAGCTCGCGCTGACAGAGATTCGGACGCGTTTGACTAAGTGACTCAAACTCGCCGGGTGTGTGTATGTCGCCGTAAAGCTCCACACCCGCTGCTGACACTGCTGCCAAGCTGGCCGTCGGCGTCGACGTCGACGGCAACGTCGCTGCCAGCAGCATAAGCAACAGCGGCTCGGTCCAGCTACAATTCCAGCGCATCTCTCGTTGTTCGCCGCTCCAGCTTCATCTAGGGAATGAGCATCTCGTGGCCAGCGCAATGCCTTATCAGCCACAGCTCGCGCTCAGCTAAATTCTCTCGTTATTCTCAGACCAATCAGTTCAGGGACTAGAGAGCATAGCTTAGCTTTTTTCTTAGGCACACATCTTTCATCTTTCATTTCTGGGTGTTTCTGAATATTTACAAAATACATTTAAGAATAGCAGAGATTGAAATTCTATTTAAATCAATTGTTGAATATTTATTTTTACTTATGCTATATTTTTCTATGAATTTCTTAAACTCCTCTTCATACATCACTCTATATTTAATTTAATTGGAAGAGCTTGTCACGAAAAGGCTCAAGTCTGTTTCTGAGGCCCAATTCCATTTGCCATTCCAAAAAATTATAGTAAAATTATTTATAATATAATCGAAAGGGGACAGACTGAAATTGAATCCCCGGATCAATAATTACACAGAAATTTGCTCACATTCTAAGTTTGTAAATTTCTTGAGAATTTCGTACAAATGTAAAAGTCATCAGTTAATATTAGCTTAAATACCCTCATTCAAATTACAATCCAATAATATATATATTCATAAGATTCATATTTTTATAGCCTATACCAGCATATTCCACCATTAGCTCTTTCTTTCTCTCTCTCTATAAAAAGGGAAACCCTGATCGAGTTCCGCTCAGTTGTAACAGAAAACTTTATGGTCAGTTGGTTATTCTTAAAAGAAAAAACTTGTATTATTCGTAATATTAAAAATGAGATTCTGTAATTATTCGGGCTTACTACCTAGTACCTTGGTATTGCTTGTTCTGGCTTGCGCCATTTCTAAAACGACTGCTCAGGACTTGGAGAAACCCGAGACGGAACTTTTAAACAACTGCATCGAAGGATGTAGCCAAAACGATTGTCAGAATGGCGAATGCAGTTGCAAGGATGGATTCTATAGGAAACTAGGTAGCGAGACCTGCATTGAGAATAAGTGCATTCCGCAATGTTTGGAAAACCAAAAGTGTGTGACTGGCAGCTGCACTTGCGCAGAGGGCTTTGAAAATTATGGCGAGGGTGGTGCCATCAATTGTAGCAAGCCAGCTGAGAATACGAATAATAACTGCCCCGAAGGTTGTGGCCTAAATGGAGATTGTTTGAATAGTACATGCATTTGCAAGGAAGGATTCTACAAGAAACTAGGTAGCGAGAACTGTGTGGAGAATAAGTGCATTCCACAGTGTTTGGAAAACCAAAACTGTTTAACTGGCAGCTGCACTTGTGCAGAGGGCTTTGAAAATTATGGCGTGGGTGGTGCCATCAATTGTAGCAAGCCGCTTGGGAGCACAGAAGTTAGGAATGAAACTGTGGAAATTATAGCACCTGTAACCCACAGCACCACAACAACAACAACATCAACGACACCATCAACAACAACATCAACAACACCATCAACAACGACGTCAACAACGACATCAACAACACCATCAACAACTACATCAACAACACCATCAACAACGACATCAACAACGACATCAACAACTACAACACCACCTACAACTTCCACACAGAATCCAACAACCACACAAAAACAAAAAGAAATTACAACATCTGTCAAACCAACCCCTAAACCCAAACCACATCCAGTAAAATCTGGCTTGAGTCCATGGGCCATTACGGGAATTATTATTCTAGTGGCTTGCCTAGTAGGATTTGGTGGATTCATGTTGTACAGACACAAGCAACGCGGCGCTTACGGGGCTACCCCCACAACCTATCGTTAATAAAAAAAAAATATAAAAAAAAGTTATCTAATTTGTATGATTAATAATTGAATTAAATTCAAATGAACGTGTTATCCGACTTAAAAATAAAATTTTAATTTAATATATTGTAAGCATAAGCAGTAGGAGAGGCGAAATTGCAATGTTGAAAACTATTATTATAAATTCGAGGTACGGTTTACATAAATGAAGTGCAAAGAAATCTTTTGAATCTATAAATACAAGTTCGAAGTATTAAAGTCACATATTGGGCTTCTTTTAGTAAATCGACTACCATACTATACATATATCCCGCATTTAATTGTAATTAATATTGTTAAATACAGGTTATTAAAACCACACCCGCAGATTTGAACAATATAAATTTCTGTTTTATAAAAAGTGAAAACTTTTACTGTACTTAAACAGTCGTGGGCATAAACTAAAGGGAGGCAAAACTTCTAAAGGAAAGAATGTCATATAGACTCTCAGGACTTCTGTGCAAGACCGTTGTGTTCTGCCTTATCCTTTCTATCAGCGGTCAGAAATCAAATTCGCTTAATGAAGTTGCTGATGTGAATACCAAGAGGTGCACAAACGATTGTTTTAAAGCGAATACTGAATGCCAGGCTGGAGAAAGTACTTCGACTATTGTAGGAATATTGAAATGCAGACCTTTAACTGCCTTAAAAATTACATCAACTCAAGAAACTATGACATCAACTGCAACACACATCTTACAAACAAGTAAATGGCGACGAAGAAATACATACTTTACAAGAAGACCGAGACCCACAAATCACACTAGAAGACCAAGGCCAACTCATCACACCAGAAGACCACCGAGACCAACACACCGCACAAGAAGGCCACCGAGACCAACACACCACACAAGAAGAACACATCATACTAGAAGACCAACGAGACCTACACATCATACTAGAAGACCTCCCAGACCCACACATCACACTAAAAGACCACCGAGACCCACACACCTTACAAGAAGACCCACAAGACCCACACACCACACAAGAAGAACACATCCTACCAAAAGACCAACGCGACCTACACATCACACAAAAAGACCAATGAGACCTACACACCACACAAGAAGAACACATCCCACAAAAAGACCAACGAGACCCACACATCACACAAAAAGACCTACAAGACCCACACACCACACAAAAAGAACACATCCTACCAAAAGACTTACGCGTCCTACACATCCCACACGTAGAACTACACGCCACAAAAAGCCAACAAAACCAACCCATCATACAAAAAGACCAACGAGAACTACTCGTCACACACAGAGACCAACACGGCATACAAAAAAACCTACGAAAACTACACGACATACGAAGAAGCCGACAAAAACTACTTATCACACAGTTAAGCCAACAATAACAACGAGATGCACAAGCACAACAGCTGAGCCGACGTACCCACCTACAACGGACACACCGCCCGCACCTACAACCTCCGAACCAACACCAGAGCCAACACCTCCTGATCCGACAACACCTGAACCTACAACACCAGAGCCTACAATTCCACCAACACAAAAACCTACAACACCTGCACCAACAACTCCAGCACCTACAACCCCTGCACCTACTACTCCTGAACCAACAACATTTTCAACTCCAACAGCAGAGCCTACAACAGCAGAACCTACTACGCTCGCACCTACAACAATTGAAACCTCATCTACCACAACATCCACTATCGCACCCTCAACAACTAAATCGACTTCAACAACTTCAACAACAGATAACCCAGTCCCATCTACGACCGCAACGACATCAACAACCGAATCCACAATTCCACCTAGCACAACAAATTCTGCAAGTTCACCAACGACAACAACCAACTTTACAACCTATTCAACAACTTCAACAACAGAAAGCCCAGTCCCATCTACGACCGCCACGACATCAACAACCGAATCCACAATTCCACCTAGCACAACAAATTCTACAACAACAACCGATTCAACAACTAATTCTACAAGTTCACCAACAACAACAACCAACTTAACAACCCATTCAACAACTTCAACAACAGAAAGCCCAGTCCCATCTACGACCGCAACGCCATCAACAACCGAATCCACAATTCCACCTAGCACAACAAATTCTACAACAACAACCGATTCAACAACTAATTCTACAAGTTCACCAACAACAACCAACTTAACAACCCATTCAACAACTTCAACAACAGATAGTCCAGTTCCATCTACGACCGCAACGACATCAACAACCGAATCCACAATTCCACCTAGCACAAAAAATTCTACAACAACAACCGAGTCAACAACTAATTCTACAAGTTATCCAACAAGAACAACAACCAACCTAACAACCGAATCCACAATTCCACCTAGCACAACAAATTCTACAACAACAACCGATTCAACAACTAATTCTACAAGTTCACCAACAACAACCAACTTAACAACCCATTCAACAACTTCAACAACAGATAGTCCAGTTCCATCTACGACCGCAACGACATCAACAACCGAATCCACAATTCCACCTAGCACAACAAATTCTACAACAACAACCGAGTCAACAACTAATTCTACAAGTTCACCAACAACAACAACAACCAACCTAACAACCCATTCAACAACTTCAACAACAGAAAGCCCTGTCCCATCTACGACCGCAACGACATCAACAACCGAATCCACAATTCCACCTAGCACAACAAATTCTACAACAACAACCGACTCAACAACTAATTCTACAAGTTCACCAACAACAACCAACTTAACAACCCATTCAACAACTTCAACAACAGATAGCCCAGTTCCATCTAAGACCGCAACGCCATCAACAACCGAATCCACAATTCCACCCAGCACAACAAATTCTACAACAACCGAATCAACAACTGTTACAACAACAACAACGAGGTCTACAACCGATTGCCAAGTTCCATCTACAACCCCAATGATCGAATATTGAATAATAGAATATTGAAATCCACCCAGTACAACACCGACTCTACAACTCCTACATCAACAACAACAGCTCGATCAAAAGCTATAGATTCAACAGCTACACCAACAACAACAAACAATTGAATAGCCCTTCTATTAAAAAGCATTTCTACAATTTAAGCAATAACAAATGAATCAACAACCACGCCTACAACAATGCCAACAACAGCAATCTATTCTACAAATGCGATACGATTCCATCAGCAACTCCCACAAACAATATTTTGTTTTAAGCGGAATTCAAGATAATAATAATCCAAATAAAAATAAAACAAGCATTTGCTTAAATTGTTTGTATATATTTTTTTTATTATACAAAAGTAAAGATTATATGGCAATAAAAGAATTTGAAAGCCGTACAATGGTGCCTACATACATATATTGTTAATAATATTTCTGATGGTGTTTTGTAGCGCTGCCGTAGATCTGTTTATAATACAACAAATATGAAAAGTCAATTTTATATTTAACAATTTCCATGATGTATTTTGTTTGTTTATTTTATGTTTCTAAATTCTTAGTGCTTTTCGATTTCATGGTTATTCGGCCTATAAAAATCGGTCAAATTCTTAAACGAACGTAAATGTTGACTGTAAAATCTACAAATGGGCGATTTTGTGAGTTGTAATCTGATTGGGCACCTGCAGAAAGTTGGCGTTCTGCGGCGGTATGATCAAGTGCGAAACATGAGAGCCAGCCGGTGTGCTAGTATGCTGGTGGTGCTGTTGGTGGTGCGACTGACCATGACGAAGTGGCGGGGGTGGAGGCAAAAAAGCGGTTGCTGTGGTTGAATGCTGATAACGTGGCTGCTGCGAGGCATGTGGTTGGTGTTGTGGATGCTGCTGTTGATGGTGGTGCTGATGGTGCTGGTGGTGGTGCTGCTGATGATAGCGTATCTCGTCATACAGATGCGAGTCGAGGCTGCCCTTGCGAGACTTGGGCGAGATGACCGAGTAAAGTGATTCCTTTCTCGCATAGGCATAGGGTTGCGTAGTTATTGAAGAGTTATTGCTCGGCGTATCATATACTTCAGGCAAGGATGCTGCAAGTGATCAAAAAATTAGCTTAGTTTGATTTCATAAATGGCTAATGCGATGAATAACTTGATATTAAATATGAACAAATGCAAAGCATAATATAATCTATATATGAACCCATTCAAATGCATTTTAGAGTAGAAGCTTACGTTCTAAGCTGTTGGAATAAGTATAAGTTAGCAAAAGTAAAAAGGTAACTAATTTTTTTTTATAAATGTTATCATTTGTTTATATTAATGTATAGTTTATCTAATTTATACGCTTTTTTCTATATTTTCAGAAAATATTTTGACCCTATATATTTAGTCCAGAAGCGGAAGTCAACCAACATTTGGCAAAGCATTAATCAAGTTATTCATCGAACCGCCCTTTTTATAGGCGGGGCGACACTTACATACCCTCGTTCGTTTGGGATTGATTGGAAGCCAATGTGGCAGGAGGCTTTGGCAGCGGTCCATGAAAGATTTTGCCCAGTGCGCCGGACTCACTGATCACAACCTCGGGATTGGCATGGCCAGTGCCATGCCCCTGTGGGGAACTGAACGTGCCATTGGCATTATATACGACGGCCTCCTTGTGCAAGTGCTGACGTCTGTAGACATAGAGGAAGCCCAGTGCGATGACAATCATCAGCATGAGCAGCATCACAATCAAAGTACTCTGCAGGTTGGAATCTTGATCATGGGCGCTGCGACTGGGATTACTTTCGCCGGCAGCGAAACCGGCCAGATTCAGCTGAGGCGAATGCTCCTGCGCGCCACTGCCGCCGGCATTTGTGATGACATGTATGACCTCGGGTGTTGGCACACCCGCCGCTGCTGCGGTATGTAGATTCTCCAGCAACGCATTGCTCGATTCGTGCAATATGATCTTGGGCGTGTGCGCGGCCTCCTGTAAGGGCTGTTTGATCAGTATGACCTCTGGCAGGGCACTGGGCGTCGCCTGGATGTGGTTGACCTCGGACATGCTGCCAATGCGATTGGCAATCTTGTTGATATTGTGCGTCAGATTTGCCATGGTCGAGTTGATGGTCTCCAGCACAACGTGACTCACATTGACGGCTCCAGCGCTTTCCTCTGCCGCGCAATCGCCGGTCTGTGGATGACAGCGTTTCCCTGGACACTCGCACCTCTTGCGGCACATGACGCCATGTGTGCCCACTGGACACGGCCGCTCGCAGCTAAAAGAATGTAATATATCACAGATCTTACTATACACTACACTCAAAGAAAAACTTAAAGGTTTTGGCTGCGAATCCTAAAAAACTATGCGTATAAGTTTAAAGCTTCTTAAATTGAAAACAAAATTTTGATTACTTATCTAACAATTTTAAAATTGCACTTCTTCAATTTGATAAACTGAATTCCATTTAATTTTTGCTACGTTTTGAGCCAATTTAAGATCAAAGATCAGAAAAACAGAATTAACTTCAAATGATAAGAACAAAGTTTTTCTCTGAGTGTATTGATAACAATTAACTTACAATTTACCCGCCCAGCCGGCAATGCAATGGCAACCGCCTGCCTTATTGTCGCAAACCGCATCATTTTGACATTGGCATTGATTCTTGCAGTCCAGTCCCCAGCGATCGTGATCGCAGCCTGACGACAAGAAAATGGACGGACATCAAAGATATGGCTTGCAAGGAATTATTGTACTCTACTCACGCTGGGTGCAGTGTTTGCCGGTGTAGCCCTCCTCGCAGCTGCAGGTATCGGGCATTAGGCAATTGCCACGCCCACAGCCGCCGCGACAAATGGGCCGGCAGCTGGCGTGGCTATCCGACAGATTGCCCTCATAGCCTTGACAGCAAAAGCGAACTGTGCGCGTTTTGTTGACTCTCTAAAAAAAATGGAAGTGAGGAAATGAATCAGCGAGAGAGCAAATTGAAAGAACGGGAGAGACAGTGACACAGAGGGAGAGGAGAGGGTAAGTGAGAATTAACTTATATTGATATGAAAGCAAAGTTTTATTCTATTTTTAACTAAAATATCATTTTTTAATGATATCTGAAAGTAATGAGAAATTTCTAATACACATATCGTTGTAATTCACATCCTAAAAGTACTATACAAACTTAAGTAACATGCTTAAGATGTTACTCATCTTGTATATATATATGATATTTATTTTAATAATTATCTTAAATTCCTTTAAGAAAATATAATAAGACCAATTTAGTCCTTGGCATATAAATTTACTAGAGTATAAAATGTTTTCCAATCGCAAATCCTGGCTTTTGCCTACAAGCTAAGTTCGGCCTTTCTGCTTTTCTTTGCCTTACGCCTTATAATTCGCAACGAGTTCAAGCAGCATACCAATGGCTAGGCAAGCCAAGGCATGAAGTTGAAATTAAAGTTTCCTAAAGATAGAACCGCAAAGTTCTTAAGAAAGCTATACAAGCGATCTGTTCAGTCTGGTGTGTATCTCCTTGTATAAACTAAGCCCTTAAGCCCTGAAAGTGGTCACAAATTCCACTTGTTAATCAAAGTTACGCCGCCTGACGTTGCGAGAGTATTATGTGCTCTGCCATAAATATTACTCATATTAGTCAAAATGATGATAAACTCAATGAGCAGTATGTTTAGTCATGCATTCAATGCTAGCCTGCAAGAAAAAATATTTAAATTTATGTACATGTGAGCATTATCAAAGACCGCTTCCTGTTGCGGCTCAAAGTTTCTTGAGTGGATTTGCCGAATTGTTGCTCGGTCTTCAGTTCGCATACCGATTGCAAACGCGCAGCACTTGTTTTAAATATTTTCAAAAATTACAAAAAACAAAATGCAACGCTTTCAGTTTTCGAGTTTGCTTTTCGGTACTTGGCTGCTGTTGCTATTGGCTTTTGCCACCGCCCAGGAAATTGAGACTTTGACATTTAACGTAGAGGCTGAGGCCGATCATCGACCAGTGTCAACATCAGAACAACCGCTCTCTAGCTCAACTGAGTCAACTGAAACAGAACCCACAACAAGCACAACATCAACTACTTCAACAACAACAACAACAACAACCACCCCAAGACCTAATCCACCCAACCCACCAAAACCACACGACCTATGGGGCGTCCTTATTGTCGTTGCTACGCTCCTTGTTATTGTAATTGTTGTGTATTTAATTTATAAACTAAGGAATCGCAGATCCTATGACGTCTAAACATAAATGTAAAGACAAGTGTCACATATATATTACAAATTATTTTAAATACTAATCGGAACTAATTTTAAATGTTATGTAACTAAAATAATTAATTAAAGCTTTGATTTTGTTGAGACGTGTTTAAAGAAATGAGGTATATAAATATTTATTTATTCGACACTATTTGTACTATATATACTCAAGCGATACTTGTACTAAAATTCTATTTAGCATTTCGTACTACTCTTAAAATATTGAACAACAATCATGTATGTTGTGCCTAAAAGTAGCCCACAAATATATATTTTGTCATGAGCCCAAGAATATGCAATAGAATTAAATAAATCGCAACCTTTTATGCGCTTAAAAGTCCGACTTAATTCAAGAATACACATATATTTTAATTAACAAATTTAATTAACGAATAACGAATTTTAATTAACAACTGGGATAAATAACGTCCGTTCCTGCGATCCACACAAAAACGTATTTATATTGTCCAAAAATCGTATTTAATGCTCGAGATATTCCAATTATAATATATTTCAATGATTAATTGGGTTTTATGGAGTTCGATTTGTACTAGTTAACCCTTTTTTAGATAGAAGATAGAAAAGAACGAGAGAAAAGAAAGGGGACCAGAATTTAGGGACCTCAGAAAAGAAACAATTTTTATAAAACATTTTAGACAAATGTCAAAATTTAGAATAGAAATTATCGAATGCCAATAGTTAGACCTGATCAGTAACATTTATAACATTTATTAAATTTAACAGAATGATTGTCAATTGAAGCATTTAAAATGTATAACAACTAGCCATACATTAACTTTGATCCATCCTATTTAACGTAATTTTCGAGTCGGATCTGCGATTAATTGAATGTTAAGCACATTGTCCTCTCACATTCAATGTCAACTCGTTGAACTTTGTAACTCTGCTCGGTGCTGGGCAGTTACAAAAGACGAAAGTGCTGATTATGTTAAATCTGAGACATGCACAGACCACACCCACACATACGCACATTACACATCACACAGATACACACACACCCCTTGAGTTGCCAATTTAATTGAATAATCGGAATGTCAAGCGTTTCTCACAATCATTTGTGAGTGTCCCGAAGCATGCCCAGCTTTTTTTTCATTCAGTCGAATTCCCGGACAACTTACGCATTGTTCTCTCCCTTGTTGATCAAAGTGTATCTGCAGCTGTGCATTTGTATCTGTATCTGTATCTGTATCTGTATATGTATCTGTATCTGTGTCTGTGTGTGCGTAGCATAAATTAATAAGGCGGAAATTTTAATATAAACACAGATATTACGATTCGTGTGCTCTGTCCGTTTCATTGTAAGCATAATTAAGCGCAGCTTTTAATGCAGCCTTTTGTCGAATGTTCACCATAAATGAATATTATTTGTACAATACTCGTGCGTAGTACTTGCTTAGGTAATTGAATACATGTTGAGCAATGTTTGAACAAATGCGAGTGATCATATTACGGCCACAACTCGTACAGCTTCCAGCTCTTGTGCCCCTCCTCCCGCGCACTGTCAGGCCCATCAATCATTGTGGCGCCTGCCTTTTATTTATTTTTCTGTTTGTTTTATATAATTCACTTGATTTGTGAAAATCTTTGTAGGGGGAATATCTTTCGGCACTTTGGCAACATTACAAATCTTATGCGGAAAACTAGTTTTCCACAGTCTCATGTCTCGTAAATGGCTTTTTGGCACTCCTCAAGCGATTTCTGTTTCATGTTAATTAATTAAACGCAATTGGCAATTAGCTGCGGCATTTTTACCGTACAAATATATTTTTGTCAGGCATTGCAAAAATCTAAGCCACAGCTACTGAGCGCCAAAAATGCCAATCCGAAACTGCTTTCCTAACAAAGCAATCATTTCTGTGTCCAAATTACCTATCTGAACTCAGCTGCTCTAGAAGTTCGATTCAAAAAATCGATGTTGCAACTGAAGAAAGTAAAATTGTGGTCTAAATGAACTCAGCTTCTACAAGAGCTGACGTCTTAAAATTTAATATGCAGGCTCTACTGTCACCAACTTCTTAATTTAATAGCAACTTAAACCGCTCTGCTTATGTCCAGCTGTCTATCTGAGATCGATTTCTATATGAGTGTCTATAGTGTCTTAAAATTGAATATGCAAGCTCACTTTCTGTGTGAGCTACAGTTCTTAGGCTGGGCTTATAATTTCGTATTTTATTATTCAGCTATATATATATTTTTATTTGGTTTCGGCATCTAAAATAGTTAAATTATGAAATTAATTTGCAGCCATAGCCATAGACACATGCAACGCACGCTTGTGCACACATAATTAGAGTTGGAACTGAACTAAGCCAAAACTGGCTGCATCTTATGGCCAGTTGGAACGAGCGTTGCGATGACGCAATCGAAAGTGTGTCAACAGCTTCGGCGTCAACTGCAGCAGCCTCCACATGAGCTGAGCCGAGCTGAGCTGAGCTCAGCTAGTGGAACAGTTCATATTTTCGCTAGCCTGGCTGTGTTCGATTTTCCGCTTTTCATTTGCACTTTCCAACACTGACACCATGACATAATTATTTCTGTTAATTCCCAGAAAGAAACAAAAAGTCAAATAAAACCAGCCGAGCCTGATTAGGCGCCCTCCCCTTCCCCTCCCCCGTCCATCTAAAACAAGCAACCGGCAGCCACTCGTTTTTCTCGATTTTTCGCGTTTTCTTTTATCTCAAGAAAACATTTATATTTAAGTGTGTGCCAGCCAAGTGAGATACGTATAGTTTATTATGGGCCTAAATTAATTAAATTTGTTATAGATTCAGAATTTACGTTTGCAGCTACAAGAATTTGAAATAACTGTAAATATAATATTTGTAGAAAGTTAAAAATTGGTTAAAAAACCCAAACTGAACTGCAATACGAAACTTAGCTCTACCATCTACGTATGTTGTTATTAGAGTATGCAAAGTTCGCTTTAAATTCAAATCAAATATCACGCATACGACATGGTTGCCCAAAAGTTCATAGAAACTTTGACAGCCAAGGACGTTACCTGTGCTTGAAGTATGGGTTAAAACCGGTCGATGCTTTACAAAGACTTTTCATGTAACACACAGCTGCGACTTCCGTTCTCTGCCGCAGATTTTTCCGCTTGGCGCTTGCGCAACTTTTATAAGTATATATATATATATATATATATATATATCTACTAAATGTGTGTTTCTTTTTGACAGAACCCATTAAATCGGGCAAAAATAATGGCAATTTATGGAATATGGCCAGGCGCGCGACTTCCTGGTTAACAATTTGGCATATGTGGCAAATGGAATCAGGTTTGTGGGGCATGTTGGCCAAGACTGGCCACGGCTGGAAGGTGTTGCGCTGACGCAATCGCTGCCCCGCTAAAGGCATAGCCGGCAGTGGCAAGCACCTGCACTCACCTGCACCTTCATCACCTCGCGCATTTCCGTCTTGTATGAGGAGCAGCGCGGCGGTATCTCCAAGCACCAGGTGGACGTGCGCACCCGCACCGGCTGCACCTCCGGCACCTGCACTACCTCCACGTACGGCTCCTCGCGTGTGCATATATTGCCCGCACTTTGTATGGAAGGCAGCGCCACGGCCGTCGCATTCACATTCACATCCTTGAGGTATGTATTCACGCGCAGGCTGCTGTTCTGGCTGCTAATGCAGCCAGGTTGCAACAACAGCAACAGCAGCAGCAACAGTGGCTGCTGCAAGTAGCTACACACTCGTGAGAGTTTCATGTCTTAATTTAGCTTTGCTCTGCTTTTTACCAAAGAATTTTAGTTGTTGTTTTGTTATTATTCAGTCAAGCAAGCAGCTCATCATTATTGTTTACACAAGGATTATATTTGCAGTATTGATTTTTATGCTCTTACTTTAATTTTTTATATTTATTATTGTTATTTAAATTTTGTTGTAGTCAATTATTAAGATGTTTGTTTGTTTTTTTTTTTTAGTTTTATAGAAACTTCATGTTTTTGTATTTATAACAAAAAAAATTGTTATAATTTAGTGTTTGTATATTTTTTTTATATTTTCTTTGTGCAATTTATAAAACTTTGTTTTAAATATGATAAAATCGTATGTTATGTTATATTAAGTTATATTCTGCTTTGTTTTATAAAAAATTTTTAATAATTATATTCTCATTTATTTTATTTGTTTTATTTTTTTTTTACTATTTTATGCAATATACTTAATTTTGTTTTAAAAATATTTTTCTTATTAGAAGTTTATTTGGAATACATTTTTAAAACCTTTTCAAATTATATTTAATATAATTATATTATAATTATTATTTTACTCTTCTTATAAACAAGAAATGCTCATTTAAATGTTTATTTTTTGCATTAATTTAATATGTTTAACTCTTTAAGAAACTTTCCATAGTTAAGTCTTTAAAACTATTATTTTCGCAAACTCAAGGTCTTCTGTATTTGAATATTGTTCTAGCACTTTCTTTAACTTTCGTTTTTTTCTAACTAAAATTCTGATTCTTTCCGCTCGAAATGCGTTGCGTGTGCGCATGGAACGCGACTCTCGTAGTGACTGTTTTTTTCCCGTTGGCTCCGATTCAATAGCACGTCTGGTCGCGTGTTCCTTCTCCAAAAACGGTGAACAGTAAACAAATGGGGAACATATATACACGTATGTATATATAAAAATTGTTGTCATTGCAAATTGGCGACGCCGACGACACTTTTTGTCGAGCTAATGAAGGCCGCTGTGCGGCGTCGGGGGGGGCTGGCAGCGGCAGGCGACAGGGCGGAAGTACGCACTGCACAGTTGAATTCTACAATGAAAGTGAAATGCGACACACACATACACGCATACAAACAGACTAGTCTCCACTGCAGCTGTACTGAAACTCTCCAGTCGAACGCTGATAGTTCCCCACCCCCCTATTGCATTCCATCTCCGCTCAGCGCGATGACGATGATCATGATTGCATCTAATTGAAATGTTGATAATGTCCTTAAAATGCTGTCGCTTGTTGTTGTTGTTGCTGCTGCTGCTGCTGCTGGTGCAAGGCAAACCCGCTTTGTTTTTGTTATTGCTGCATTTGCGCTTTTCTGTTGACAGTCGGCGACAGTTGACGAAACGTGGGAGAATGCATAAATTAACGTAAGCCCAAATTTAAATGAAGTAACATTTTTATATCTGATTGGCGCAGCAGCTGTTGGGAAATTAACATTTTCAAAATTGTCCAGCTGAAGGCCCTACATATATGATTAGTTTATATAAACAAATAAATAAAATAACATTTTCAAAGAAATTAAATTCAGATATAAACTTAATATATATGAACTAAAATTTATTTTATTATTTATGAAAACAATTATAATAGTTATATATCTGATAATGATTGTAATTATTACCATTATTATTGTAGTTTTTATTAAAAATAATAATATTATTGTCATTAATTTTATTCGTATTATTATTATCATTATTATTTGTATTACTATTCTTATCATTATTATTATTTATATTGATTCTCAGATTTCTTGAAATAGTTATTAATATATTGTCTTAAGTTTTTAAAATCTTTATCTAATCGATTAACTATAATTATTTTGATCGCTTAGTTAAACTAAAAGCTGTAAGAACTAAGTATAAATTAATAACTTTATTTAAACTAAGGATTGTTTTGCTTGATCTTAGGTTTTGATCGACCTCTCTTTGTGTTAAGACGAAGCTCAAGTTTTCATGTTATACAATACCCAATATTCCAATAAGGATCGTCTGAATAGCAAGTTTATGAATCTCATCCAATTCAAGTACTTGTTGGTCTACTTATGCGTATAAAGCTTTAACTAGTTGCGAGTTATAATGTGTGAAGTTACTTTATTAGGCGACATATAATAAAAAAAAATGTTATGCTTTTATTTTATTATTTAAATAACAGGAGACGAGACACGAGTCTACACACTTCAAAAACGAGTCATAACTCATTAGTTGACAATCAAATTCTATGATGACAAATATGAGTTCATATCATAATAAACAGAACTTAAAACAATTTCAGTAATTGTTAAAGTGGGGCGTAATAAATTATAGAAAAGTTATGGATAAAATATCGAAAAAGTTTCGCATTCAAAGTTTTTATTTCTCTCTCCAATTGAAATAAAGCAAATTCGCAATTGTCATTAGCTGCTGCTGTTGATGTGATAATCATATAATATCCTTTATAGTACTTGCCATAAATCCCACACAGATTCGCGTTCATCTCGCTGATTGCAATGGTTACTGTAAACAAAGTTAACCACGCCCCCCTGACCCGCACTGCCCACTTTACACTCCAGTTTGGACAGCGCAGCACTCACTTAACTCAAGTATCTGATATCTTAGACAAACTTTGAGAACAAAGCTGACACTGAGCTAGCCCAACACCCCCCCGCACCCCCCCCCCCTCTCGCCATGGTCCGGCCACGCCCCAACCCGGAGCGCACGGCGTTGATTATCTTGTTTACAGTGAAGTTGCAGTTGCAGTTGCCGTCGCTTGTGGCTTGCAATTTATTAAATCAAATTTACAAAAACAAAACAAAAACCAGTTGAGCAAAAAAGAGATAAAAAAGCAAACTGCAGTCCAAGCGCTTTGTTTATTATTTTTATTAGTTGATTAAATTATGAAGCAACAACAACAACAACAACGACGACGACAACAACAACAACAGCTGCAGTTAAAATATGCGTGCGACGCTGGCGTTCCAATGACCCGCATCACAGCTGCCTCCTCCACCCTCTGTAATATACCCTGTAAAAGCAATTGTTAGCAAAAAAAAAGAAAAAAAAACAAATTTCCATTTATGCATTTGATTAGATTTTATTTTCAAATTGTTTTTGGCATTGATTCAAGTTCAACTTGACTCGAATTAAAGCGGAAGTTAATATACACACATAAATATATATAAATATATATATACATATATTGATTTTATAGAATATGCCAGCTTTTAGATAGTTAGATAGCTCAGCCAGGCGCTGAGCGTGAGCAGCAGTAGGTTCGTCAGCGGCCTGGAGACGCCGTTGTAGTAGCCCCCAAAGATCTGCAGGCCGGCTGTCTCGATGCTTCGCTTACAGTAGTCCCCATCGTAATTCCAGCCCACATACTCGTTGGTGCGCAGCGATTCCTGACGCAGCCATTCCTCTAACGGGGCAAAGTACTCACGCAGAGCGCTGCCATCGAGCCGACCCTCGCCCAAGGTCTCCTCCAGCACCTCCTGCCAGGGCTGGGATGCGCCCTTGGCCATCAGTTGTCTATGGGAATCGAAGCGAATGAGAGAAAGTGTGAGAGACATTAAGAATTTTATAAAGATTATTGCTAACTATTACAAAATATAATCGAAAAATGTATTATAATGAAAATATATGTATATATTTATTAACAAATAATATAAGAAAAGTTCAATAATTGGAATTCTAAAAGTTATCTACTATGCCATACGCAATTCAATGAAATTAAGTCAAATGTATATTAATATAATATATTTGTTTTTTTTTTTGTTAAGAACGAGTTGTCTTTCCAATTGAGATATTATCTATTATCATAGTATTGAATATACAACTCTACGTTCAACAAAATTGAAACCAATTTAGTAAAAAATTACATCCAATTAGTCTATTATACATTTTTAATGATATATTAAGATGTAAGCTTAGAATTAGATTTTAGATTAAAGTAAAAAATTGTTTATTAATTAGAAGTTATATAGAAAACAAGCAGGCATATTAAATTATTGTTTCTTTGTTCTGACAATTATAATACTTTAAATGGTATTCAACTATTTATAAATAATTTATTTTTGACTTACTTTAACAGATTGCCTGCGGCTGGCTGCCGATAGATGTCGCACTTGTGCAGCGGCTTACGCGGATCGTTGGGCACATACTGGCCAGCGACAAGACACATTCTTCGATACAATTGGAACTGCAGCACCGTGGAGAAAAAGTATCTGCAAGATACAAAACAAGATATGAATTAGATACATACATATATGTATGGCTAAAAACATGAGTTTTAGAATGGCAACGGTCACGCTTGTTGACCGCATGCGAGTATATTGTACAAATTGTCAATTGTTCTGCGATGGGTGAGAGTTGAGCACAGAAACCGAGCGACTCGCTGTGGTACGCTTACGTTGCGCCTCAAGGTCGCACCACAATTACAACTAAACCAGAACAAATTGCAAACGATTTTGAATTTTGCAATCGCAATGCAAAAGTCTGCTCAGCTCTCATTTAATCGCAATGCATTTGATTTCCCTGACATGGGGCAGAGTCACTATTCGGTGGGTCAGAATCTCGGAATGTATATTCAAAATATGTAGATATATATATATGACTTGTTAACATATATCTTGTATCGCTAGGATATTGACTATAAATCTGAAAAGTAATACTTTAAATTGGAAAACAAATATCAAAAAGTACACAAAATAGCACGGCAAGGAAAATAAATATATAAGCAAATACAACACCTTAAAATAATAGAAAAATCAGATATGCAATTAATTATTTAAATTTATAAAGAATAAATCATATATGAATATTAGAAATGTCGAGAAAAATAATGAATAATCAAATGAAAGTTAGCAACAAGTAAATGTTAAACAAGTATGTTAAGAAAAATTTAAGTATGTCACCTTTTGAGCTCGCATTAGTATTTAAGGACATTCCATCAAAAATTATTCCTATTGGCCACTTCAAGAGCTATTATGTCCTTTAGCCAGCATATATTCCTCATCTTACCAATTCAAAATATTCAATTAAAAGGACGCATGTTTTTTTTCACCTATGAAGAAAACAATTCGCTTTGATAAAGTCTATCAACTGGCCAAAGGACGTCGAAATAGTCCTTGGAGTTTTCAAAATATTTCATATATTCTTTCCTTGTCACACGTGTAAAAATGTATGTAATCCGAAGATGCTTAAATGTAGATTGATACACTTGGTCCTTTCGATTCAAACGCACAACGTTTTTTGTAAATCCGCCAGGATTTGCCCGAGCTAGAGCTTTTTTTTAAAAAGGATATTATCACAAAATCGTTCATAACTTGAGCATTACAAGGACTATCGGGATGTCTTTTGGGCCCCCTACTGTCGTTGCCAGGCCAATTTAGAAAATGCAAAGAAATGGACGAAAGTCCTTTAAGCAACTGAGATATAAGGATATTCATTTTTTATATTATAATTGCCATAGCTCGAACGTATCCTTGCGGATCCTGGGAAGTCCTGCGTCAAACAATGCGTATGGACCAAGGCTATAAGCTGGCCAAAGGACATCAAAATCGTCCTTGTAGTTTCCTTAATATAACTATTTTTCTAAAAAGGACATTTTATTTTTAGTCATAACTTGGCCAAATGCTTAAGGATATCGGAATGATATACATTTTTGAGCTCGTTGGGACCAAGATTATCGAATGGCATTCAAGGATTTTCATATTTCGACAATTCCAATAAACATTTTTCTAGGGGTTTAGTCGCTAAATTGGCCAAAACCGAACAAATCCGGGCTAACTTCGCCATTTGAAGGGCTATCGGGATGTCCTTTGACCAGCAAAGTGTCCTCACCCTCCCATTTGAGAATTTACAACCCAAAGGACGAAAGTCCTCCAGACAAAAAAGTTTTAAGGACAAATTTATGAACAGAAAATAGCCTATAACTCGGCAATATCCTGCCTCATCTTGACGAGTCCTGTATCAAAAATTGTATTGAACAGGACTAAGAACTGGCCAAAGGACATCAAGATTGTATTTGTAGTTCCAGAGATATTGCGATTTTACTGTAACTTTGTGATTTCAGCCAATTTTCCTTGCGCCCGGGAACTGAAAATTTACCAAGTACATGATTCTTAGATGACACCTTAATTTTTTGATGCAGTTCGATGCAGTTGGGTCCTACAATGCTAACGCAGCATGTCCTTTGAAAATCCGTAAGGATATGGCCGAGTTATGTCCTTTTTTCTTTACTTAAAATGACTGTGTTTTATTAAACAACGTTTTAATTTAAATAAAGTTTTATCTTTTCAGATGGAGGAGTTGAAGGACTACAATCGACAATAAGGACTCTTAAGACTCCAACAAAGCAAATTTTCCGGAATTAGACCTTACATTTAGGATTTAAAATGAAATAAGCAATAATAAATATAGGTTCTTGTCAAAGTATCTGTAATAAACAAATTTATACTTTTTAAAAGTAATAAATTGATTATTTAAAACATTTAAACAAATTAGGGTTCTTTTTTACTTTCAAGGGCTCAAAATCATATTCATAATTGCATACCCGAAAGGGCGCCCTCGTTAGCGGCTGCGTGCCAAATATGTATCAAAATTTCATTCAAGTACCAGGCGAACAGAAATGCTCAGCAAGTAGCTGGTAGACAAAATTAAATGAAAAATTGCATTGCATACCCGAAAGGGGCGCCCTCGTTAGCGGCTGCGTGCCAAATATGTACCAAAATTTCATTCAAGTACCAGGCGAACAGAAATGCTCAGCAAGTAGCTGATCAAAAAAATATTATATTTATTGGGTGCTGTAAGGACGGCTGTTAATTAACAGTTCATGTGCAAGGGCTGCTGAAAAAAAATCATACATGTTTCTGGACCATTTCAATGCAAATTTTGAAGGGATTTTGACCTTTAGGTTCCCAAGGACTATATCAATGGTATAGTAAAACCAAGGATATGTTGGTCAACTAGAAACCATCGGGGGGTGTTACTGAGTAGTAGTAGGGAGGGGCTGGGAGCTGAAAAAAGGATACACATTTTTGGATTGTTTCAGTGCCAATTTCGCACGGATTTAGACCTTTAGGTTCACCAGGACTATATCCAGGTATGGTGAAACCATGGATATGTTGGTCAACTAGGAACCATCGAGGATGCGTTGCTGTTTCAATGCATACATTTGAACCATCTCAGTGCCAATTTTGCACGAATGTGGGCCTTCACGTTCCCAAGCACTATTTCAATGGTTTGCTGAATTTGAAAAAAGCATAAATGCAATATAATTATTTCTTTACTTTGCTAAAAACTACAAAATCCGCCAAAAGCATGACATTAAGTGTCATCTGCGATATTATGTTAAATTTAGTTGAATATTATAATTAGAATTTTGAGAGGCAATCGAAGGTCCTTTACTTATTTTATATTGAGCCTTTTCTTTTGTTGCTTCTTATGCGTGTCCTTGAACAATAATGTATTTTATTCATCATAAAACTTGGCTTTAATTATGCCGTCGGCAGCCACGGCAGCTCAATGAGCAGCTATTGAGTGCTTCGATCACCGAATCCTGTTAACTTCGCTCAATTGTGTGCACAAATGGAGAGAGGTGAGCTTCTGCGCTCAAAGCACACACATGCACCGCAATGTACAATGTAAATGCGTTCAGAGCAAAGCAATGCGCATGTGTGTATGTCTGTTGAGTTTTCACTGGTGTTATCTTAAAAGACATACATACCTACATTTACAAATAGACAGCACTTTACTAAAACAGACATACATACGTGGGCATCGGCGACAAAATTGTATTTTCGACCGACTCAATTTATCAAATTTATACAATTTCTAATATTCGAAATTGTAAGTGATAATAAAATCTAAAAAGACACACATATTATTACAAGATCGTCTTTTGTTCATTTATATTTACCTTTTTTATGGTTGCATTTTATGTCTCTTTAAATAATTATGAAACACAAAACTTGATTTTAATATGTATGCAGGCACCGAATAATCGGTAGCTGTTAGTTGGGTTCATCACCAAATTCTACTAACTTCGACCAATTAAGTGTGCGCCCGCAGAGAACGTTAGCTGAGAGAGGTGAACTTCTGCAGTCAACGCACAGCAGAACACATGTGCACATAGCTATAAATGCTTTCAGAGCAGAGCAATACGTACATATGTATGTATGTATGTCTGTTCAGCTTCCACACTTAAAAGACTTATACAAATGGACAACACGTTGCTCTCTTTGTCACGCACTTCAGTTTTGTGTCTGAGTCGTTTGTTTTCGTTTTGCCTAATGCATACATATACTTACATATGTACGTATCGATGACAAAACTGTAATCTCACCATTTGCTTGGGACTTGTGCACATACGTACATACATTCGTCAATGTTTTTAGTCCGCGTTCGATTTCTTTGTTCTTAGTGCAATAAAAGGAATAACAGAATAAATAGTTATAGCGCAAATTTACAAGGCAACTTTGGATGAAAAATATAAAAATCCGAATAATGGCTTCAGTTAGTAAATAATGTCTGTGCTCTGTTATTCGGAACTCGTAAATGATTCGATGAAATCTAAAAAGATAATTCCAAAATCAACTCTTATTTATATTATATTTACCTTAATTTATGGTTGCATTTCTTTTTTATATCTTTTTAAATAGTAATGTATTTAAACCAAAATAGAACTTGACTTTAATTATGCCAACGGCAGGCACCGCTCAATCGGCAGCTGTTGATTGCGTTGATCACCAAATTCAATGTGTGCGCCGACGGAAAACATTAGCATAAGAGAGGTGAAATTCTGCGCTCAAAGCACAGCAGCAGACAGGTGAACACAGCTGATTACAATGTCAATGAGCTCAGAGCAAAGAAGTACACACTGATGTTATCTTAAAAGATACATATCTACATACATAATATATACAAATACTGTTCTTAATGCTAATTTCTTTTTTCTGACGGCTCAAATTTTCTGTGCTCCAATATTTTTCGTCAACTGTGAACTCTCTCTCCCTCTCTCTCTCTCTCTCTCTCTCTCTCTCTATGTTAGTTGGGCCCTCGCCTGTGCATCTAATTGTTTGTGTGTGTGTTTACTCACACATATTTTAGTTGTTGCTTATCGCTCTAACAAGAATTTTAATGGACGAGTTATTCTCGTAAGCTCGTTCGCTTGCTCTATTTTCTGAGCACCGTTTTTATTTTTTTCGTCCACTTTACACTGTCG